ACAGCTGGCAGAGCCTGACTTGTATGCATGAAGTGCCATCCCCAGCATCCCATGAACGGGTACTGGTGGTGCAAGCCTGCAGTCCCGGCTCTCAGGAGATGGAGTGAGCAAGAGGTTCAGAATTACAAGGAGATTCTTAGCTACATACCAAGTTCAAGGTTAGCACAGGCTCCAAGAGCACCTGTCTCAGGAACAAAAGGAAAATAAAATGAGTTGGCCACTTAGCTTTTCAATTTTTAGTGTTATTATCTAGCCCCAACATGTTCAAAGAGAGTTCTCTGTGAACTCTCTTTGCTGTAAACTGTCAGCTTGTGGTTGCTGCTGCACCATATATGTCTTAGGTTGAGAATCTCTCATCGGAATTGTTTGGCACCAGAAATATTCACATCCGGGATGATTTTTTTCTTCAGAGTGTGGAATATTTCCATGTACTGTTGTAAATGGATTTCTTAATTGATCTACATAATAAAAAGCTGGAGTCAGATATTGAGGGAAATGCTGAGAGATCAGAAAGAAACAAACCACAGCACACTTTACATCCTTAGCCTCTCAGCAGACAAGAGATCAATTTCCTGTTTCTCCCACTCATATCCTGTTTCTACCCAGCTACCTCACTTCCTGTCTGTCTGTACAGACCTCCAGACCTCTATGGTTAGCTAGTGGCAAGCTCCATTCTCTGACCCCCAGACAGGCTTTATTAGTACAAGAAAGATATCAGCACATTCTGTGGCATCTGGCTGCAGCACCTACATTTCAGGGAGACTCCAGATTTTTGAATGAAGGCTACTTGATATGTGACATGAATAATTTGCAAAGCCTTTGTATAATATATTCAAGATGGCATGCGTGAATACACGTTTGCGTGTGTGTGTGTGTGTGTGTGTGTGTGTGTGTGTGTGTGTGTGTGTGTGTATGTTTGACTGTATCTGAAGGAGATTGTAAGGTATATTAATGAAAGTGAAGATGCCAAAAAAGGTCAATATTCAGATGTAAACGACTTGGCTCTTGTTATGAATTCAGCCCTTCAGAATTCACTACTTTCAACCCTGTTTCTAGTTGGCCATGAACTGACACCACTTACATGGATTTCATTTGGAATTCAATGTCAGATGCATGGGACCTCTGATTCTACCCGCACCTTCACAATGACATTTCAGATGTGGTGTCACCTTCCAAAGCAACTGGAACAAAGCCTTTTGTAAGTATTTGATAAGTTAAATTATAGGTAAATTAAGTGAGGCAAGTAGTTGCAAAATTTAGAAAATCAACAGAGCAGCCTATGGATCATACAGACACTATCGACTATTACCAACAGGTTGCCCAAGCCTGGGACTTGGAGAGAAAGCATTCATATAAATAATTGATTTTCCATATGAGATTTTTTTGGGGGGAGGGGTGATGAAAATGTTCTAAAATCACAGTAATTGTCATATAGTTCTGAGATGAGACAAAAATCTCTGAACTGTGAACTTCACATAGGCAAATTGTTCAAAATATGAATTAGATTTTAATGAGGCAGCTATTAAAATGAGCCAGTAATACAGACATACACTTCCTCCACTCTAAGAAGCCATTTGGGGACATGAAAAATTGTGTGCATAGGGGGATGGTGATGTGGTCTTGCTATGAAGCCCAGTCTGGCATCAAATTCTCAGTTCTCTTGACTTTGCCTCCTGAGTGCTGGGATTTCAGGCATATCCCATCAAGCCTGTAGGAAAAGAGGATGAAGGAGGTATGGCCCTGCACACTTGCTTAGTCCTAAGAATGAGGCCTCCTTGGAGCAGGGTGCCTTCTAGGGTTTCCAATGTAACAAAACACCATGACCAAAAGCAAGATGGAGAGGAAATGGTTTATTCAACTTACACTTCCACATATCATAGTCCATCTCTGAAGGAAGTCAGGACAGGAACTCAAACAAGGCAGGACCCTGGAGGCAGGAGCTGATGCAGAGACCGTGGAGGAGTATTGCTTGCTGCCTTGCTTCCTATGGCTTGCTCAGTCTGCTTTCTTAGAGCTCGCAGGACCACCAGCCCAGGGATGGCACCACCTGAAATGGGCTGGGCCCTCTTTCATCTGTAATGAATGCCCTATAGCTGGATCCTATGAAGGCCTTTTCTCAGTTAAGGTCCCCTCCTTTCAGATAACTCAGGTTTGTGTGTCAGGTTTACATAAGAGTAGCCAGCACACAGGGCTTGCCCCAACTTAGTGTGGGCAGGGAATTAATACTTCAAACCTTGGTTCTGATCGATTAAAATGAACCAGTGTTAAATAGCATCTACCACTGGGCCACTGCTGAGTTCTATTTTTTACTGCTTCCTGCAAGGGGCCGAGTGGAGCTGTGCCTCTGTTCCTGCTACTACTGAAAAGTCCTGCCTGGTGCAGTTAACAGTCTAGGCTCTACAACATAAGGAACATATGACTCCAAATAGCTGTTAAGCTTTTGTCCACTCGACACAAGCTGGAGTCATCTGGGAAGAGGAAGCCTCAGCTGAGCAATTGCCTCCATCAGATTGCTTTGTGTTCAAGTCTGTGGGGCATTTTCTTGATTGATGATTGATATGGGGGGGCACAGCCCACTGTGGGTGCTGCCATCCCTGGGCTGCTGAGTCTGGGTATAAGAAGCTAACTTGAGCAAGCCCTTGAGAGCAGCTGGCGAGTGAAATACCTCCATAATCTCTATTTCAGTTCCTGCCTTGGCTTCCCTGATGAGGGGGTGTGACCCGTGCGTAAAATAAACCCTGTCTTTCCCATGTTGTTTTTGGTCATGGTGTTTTATCAAAGCAATAAATATAAAGTAACCAAGACAGCTGCCATTTATTAAATAATTAATATAAAGTATATATTGTACTTACTTTTTTTTGAGACGGGGTCTCCCTATGTAGCCCCGGGTATCCTGGAACTCACTATGTAAATCAGGCAGGCCTCACAGAGATCTGTGGTCTTCCTCTTTCTTCTGAGGGCTGGGATTAAAGGCTTGTGCCACCACCCAGTGCAATAATCCTTCTTTTTAACCAATGAAAACATTCAAGTTAGACACCCTCAAGGTCACCCAACTGGAGTGTGGCCAAGTTTTCAAGTTAGGTAGAGGCCCCAAGACACTTGGTTTACGTAAACCTCATTTTTTCTGCTCCCTCTCATTTTTTCTGCTCTAGCTGGATCACTGGGTACGCACATCACCATTGAATTACACTGTTCTGGCCCTTTTACTAACTCCCAGTGGTTTCTTCTTGAGTTTGCACAAGGCCTGTCTCAACACTTGGTGGACATACTGGGAGGCCAAAATTCTTAACCTTTTTGTGAGGGTACAGTGAAGAAACCACCCAGAAGATGGCTGCCCCATGATTCTGGAGAAGATTTTTATTTTAGTCGCTGTTCTATTGCTGTGAAGAGACGCCAGGACCAAGGCACCTCTTATAAAACGAAAGTATTTAGTTGGGGCTTGATTATAGTTTCAGAGGTTTAGTCCATGATCATCATGACATACAGCAGGACAAGCAGATGGAATGACACTGGGCCTGGCATGGGCTTTTTAAAACTTGGAAGTTCAGAAACTCAGACCGAGGGACACACTTCTCCCAACGAAGCCACACCTCCTAATCTCGATCCTTCCAAACAGTTCCATTCCGGGTTACTAAGCATTCAAATGTATGAGCCTATGGAGGCTATTGTTATTCAAACCACCACTTTTTTCTCACACACGCGCGCTCGTGCACACACACACACACACACACACACACACACACACACAGAGAGAGAGAGAGAGAGAGAGAGAGAGAGAGAGAGAGAGAGAGAGAGAGTAGTCAGAGGTATCTGGAAGAGTTCAGAGCAAAGAGAAAAAGCAGACTGGCTGTGTCTAGGGCTATCTCTTGGGGGGGTTGGGTAGAGAAAATAACAGGGAGAGAGAGTAACAAAAATGGTGGTAGACTCTTGCTTTTTAGAAGGAGTTATATTGAAGAGGGAGAAGAGTGGTTTAGCTGGAACGGCCCGGGAACTAGCATTGTGGAGGAGGAGTGAGGTGGGGGAGAAGAACCAGAAGGCTATCTGGGCACCTTGACATTCATGGTAAGTGCGTGTTACTAGGGAAAGGAGGGGTCTGGAAGTTAGCTTTGGGTTGTGATGTGTAATCACAGGTACACACCAAAGGAAGTGGCCCTTTCTCGCAGATTCCAGAGGAATGCTGCATGTGAGCTTTGATTTATCCACCAGTAATCTTTTTGTTTACCCTGCCAGAGTTCAGCCTGAGTTGAGCTCGGACTGTCATTTTCAACGAAGTCAGTGGGCCTGCTCTTTTTTTTTTTTTTGAGGGGGGATTGAGAGTTCCGGTTGGACCTGACATTTTTGCTGTGGATAAAGAAGGCCACACTCTACAGCCAGGTTTGGTGGCTCATGTCTTTAATCCCAGCACTCACTCAGGAGGCAGCACTAGTGAGGCAAAAGCAGGCAGGCAGATCTCTAAGATTACGAGGCCATCCTGGTCTATATGGTGAATTTCTGGACAGCCGAGCCACATGGTGAGACCTTGTCTTAAAAAAAAAAAAAAGAAAAGAAAAGAAAAGAAAAACCGTACTCCAGGTCTCCTAATTACCCTGGTAACAACTGGTAAGCCTGTGCCTCCCCTGGCTTCCGTTTGTCACCTCGGTGACTCATACTAGGGTACACTCTGGGGAGCGGGATACTGTTACAGGTCTTCCTCTAATCCTGACGCATCTCGCAGCTCAACCCCTGCCCAGAGGTCCTGCCTGGCAGAGTCCGCGTTCACAGCTAAGCTCAGGCAGAAGGAGCTGGTTGAGCTCTAGTGGAGGGAGCTGGGCCCGGGGGAGGGGCTCAGCCAGGAGACCGGGCTGTGGGCTGGACCTGGAAGCCGGGGCGGGGCGCGTCCCCGGGGCGCCAGGCTGGTGGAACCTTGCCGGGGGCTCGGGGCGCGCGGGCATAAGAACACGGTGTACGCACCGGGCTTGCAGAGCACCGGTCTGCGCACAGCCATCCCGGCTCCGCCGCCCGCCGGCCAGCACCATGCCCCGCATAGATGCGGATCTTAAACTCGACTTCAAGGATGTTCTGCTGCGACCTAAGCGGAGCAGCCTCAAAAGCCGAGCCGAGGTGGGGGCCATTGGCATGCCGCCTTCGGGCTGGCGAGGGGGGATTGGGTGCCAGGGTGGCACAGGGTGCCTCATCTGTGCCGGAGGAAGAGGTGTCACACCCTCTCCCCTCTCTGAGATAGGGGAAGGCCGGTCAGTTTTCTCTTATACCTGGATTGTCTTTATGGTCAGTGACAAGGGGGCCTAGTTCCGGCCTGGAATTATAAATGTGTCTGTCTACGTTTGGTGGGCTTGGGGAAGTTCACACTGAAACTCAACCGCCGAGCAGCTAAGATCAACCAACCAAGGGACTTAAGGAATGGGTCTCAGGAGAGGTGCTCAGGGAGGAGAGGAAACGGTGAGGCTAGGATGGAAAGGAAGAGAAACATAACTGCAGATCCTTGGGACTTGGAGCAGTGTCCCCTGGTGCTGGGACTTGCCTCTGCTGATTTAGCATTAAGTCCTGTGGTGGAATGTCGTGAACACAAAACAAAACAAACAAAACAACCCCCAAACCGGGAGCTCTCAGCACTCAAGTTCAAGATTTTCTTCCTGAGTTTAAATGGTCTTGCTGGAGCTGAGCTTGGGGACCTGCTTCTTGGTGGCACTCTGCGGTACTGGACAGCCTGCAGTCCCAGCCCAGACAGAGGCAAGCGGATGGCCCTGGGGTGAGGGTCATTCGGTCATTGGAAGTTAGTTGTGCGGTAATAAGATGAAAGCTTGGAAACAGGTGGAGACGGGAGCCGGCCGGCCGAGGTCAGACCTTAAAGGATAGTTTTCTGGAAAGGCGGAGCCCGCTAAATTCCGAACAGTGACTTAGCTGCTCTGTCGGGGAGCAAAGGAGGAACCGCCTGAAAGGACAGAGTTTGAATTTGGGCCCAGGGAATAAACATAGGGGAGCTAAGCCAGTTTGCCCGCCCTATCCCTCTTGCTTCACAAACAAGACCATAAATAAATCCCCTCAGCAAACAACTCGCTCAGGTGCCCAGGCCGGACTGCTGTGTCTGCCGCTGCCAGCTGAGGGTTGGTACGGATTAGGTCTGCCTCCTGCGCTAGCCAATGAATGAGTAGAACCAAGTCACTTTCCCTAAGCAGGGGCACTGGCTGCTTGGAACCAGACTGGACCGAGACAGGAAGTTGTGGTGGTGGGTGGGGGTGGGGGTGCGTGATGGACCTTATCCACCCAGATTAGATGCCCCTGGGCCTGTCCTTCGTCGAGTACTTTCGGGTGCCAAAGAACTAGGCAAACCTTTGGAACAAAAATAAACACTAGCGAAAACTCCTGGACTGTTGTATAGACGCTAGTAGCCAGTAAGTACTTAAACACAGAGACCAGGACTAATAATTTGGTGGTCTCAATATTTGTTTTCTTAATGCTTGTTTAAAATTTACCTGGATAGGAACCACTTGTTTATAAATAAGTACATATTTATCTATACAATGCAAGGATCTATACAGTTTCTGAACTAGGAAGGCTCTTGAGAAGGTACAGTATTAATATTTATGTGAAAATATGCAACACTTGGTTTTATAATTTGTGCTGGCTGCCACTCTTAATGTCCTAGCATGGGTTGAATCTTGCAATCTGTGTACCCATCACAGTGAGAATTAGTGCCCTTGAGGAGTGTCGCTCACACTAGATTTTGTGAGAAGTGTTACGTTGCATGGCTGTTCCAATTGTTTGTGGTGTAGTCTTCCGGGGCTGAGTACTCCTGCCTGGTGGATGAGCTGACATAATGTGACTTGTCTGCCTGGCACTGCTTAAGGAACAACCTTAGTCTCTCTAATGTTTCACTTCAGTGTTTCTTTCATTGTCTTGTGATTAAGTGCCATGGGATTTGTTAATTGAGTTAAGACCTTTGGGTTTATCTGATATACATGAGGTTTTTGTCATTCCATGGGGCCCAGTCCTGGGATTTTCACTGGCCTGAAACTTGCCAAGTAGTCTGGTCTGGCTGGCCAGCAAGCTCCAGGGAGCTCTGTCGGTTTCCACTCTCCCTGGCCCCAGCCTTGGTGGTTGCAAGTGTGACACTATACCTGACTTTTTAAACTTGGGTTCTGGGGATCAAACTTGGGTCCTCATGCTTGTATGGCAAACACTTTGGAGACTGAGCCATCAGCCCAGCCAATAGCAGTCGTTCATTGGGTATTGAAGAGTATTTAGAGCAAAGAACCACTCACTTGTCCTAAGACAGGGCAAATGCAAATGCCCCTCCATCTGCTTACAACTCTGTAATGAGTGCTGGACCACTAAGGAGAGATGGGGCTATCTGTCTCCATCTGTGACAGTCTAACCTATAGGGAACAGAACAGGGCAGGCCAGAGAGAATATACAGAAGAAAGGAGGCTCCAGTTTTGGTTTGAGTTCTGTTACTCTTACTGTATCACCCTGATGATGTGTCCTGGGGCTGCTGTAACACAGAATTACTGAAGAAGCCACTCAATGTACAGGGTTTCTTTGTCTTCCATATGGGGCTCTGGAAAGACCCTGTTCAAGGGGTGTCTATGTGGTAGGTTTCTTTGGAAAGCTGTTTGTGAAAGGGAGCCAGCACCTGCTCCATGCATCTCACCAGCTCCTGCTGGCTTGTTGGCCCCCTTTGGCCCTTCTTACCATGTAGATATCCAATCTAGCACCTAACTTCACCTCTGTAAGCTGTCCTACTTTTTCCCCTTTTGATATGTAATGCAAGAAGATCTGTAGTCTGTAAGGTTAAAACATCTTTATTTAGATAAACACCAGCCAAACAAACACAAGCCAGAGCGTGCCAGGGGCAGTAAGGCAGGGAGGCCAGAGAGAAGGGGCTCCCATGTGCCTTGCTGCCCCTTAAAACCCTATCACGCATCATCCTGACCTCACCTTGACCACACCCTGACAGGCGTGGTCAGGCACACCTGTAGCCAGCTTCTAGGAGGCGTGGCTTACACTGTCCCCTACAGATACTAGACATTCCACATCCCAAGTGACCTCAACTTGGTCACTTGCAAGGATCCTATTTACAAACAAGGTTACATTCACAGGTAATGTGTTAGGACTTTGGGGGAGCCACAATTCACCCCATAACAGCCTATGGAAACTTTGCTTTGTGAAATTAGAAGGTTTGCCCAGATTTATTCTTAGTCATGAGTGCAGCGGATCCACCTAGGGAGACACTCCAAAATCTGCAGTTTCCAACACAGAGGCTTTGATGGATGCAGCTTGGGGTGGTCTTGACATATCTGCAGAGCTCATCATGAAGACTTTGAATGTATGAACCATTGCCCTGGCTTAGGATGCACTTTTGACTTAGGACCTATGTGGCTCACACTGGTGTTAAGCTCTACATGTTAACCGATTCAGAAGCTTCCTGGGCCACATCAGCATCCAGAAGGCCTATTCCAGGTACTCAGAATACTGGGCATCTCTCCCCACTTGACTTCAATCTGATGCTAGGGCCTTTGTGAACCACTTCCCGGAATGTTTTGTCTTCCCAAAGATCAATCATGCTTCTAGGGCATCCTCTCTCACCCCAAGTCAACTGGCAGTTGTCTACGACCAAGTTGGTGGGTGTCTATGGAGCTTAACATACAGGCATTGCCTTGAGTGCCCTTAGGGAACTGGGAGGGAAGTGTGGGTGGGAGACAGGGCTGGTTCCCTGTGCCATTACATATTGGTGCCTTTCTTTCCTGTCCAGGAGTGATTGTTTGTTAGGGTAGTGGCAGAGGTTAGAACATATTTCCTTAAGCTTGATTCATTACACCTAACTGCTCTGAAACGTGGCAGTGTGTACTTTAGACAGGCAGAATGCTGGGTAATGATCAGACTGACTCACTGAAGAGAACAGAAGTTATTTTGGGGGTGAGGGAGGGGAATTTGCTTCTTTCTGAGTGGGGATTTGGAGGTGCTGTATCTGGGGCATTCGGCCTCTGTGATGGAGTAAAGGCCAGGGAGGCTAGAGTGAAGTATTTATCTCTCTGAACAAGTGGACTGTCTTGGGTGTGTGTATTGGGTAGATAAGGTTAGGGCAGATAATTTATTTCTCATTCTTAGAATTAAATATTGGGAAGAATCTGCCTTATATCATTTGGGAGGGAGAGGTTTGTTGGCAGAGCCTGGTATGTTGCTGAACTACACACCTCCAGCCCCAAGAACTGCCTTCTAGAGATAGGAGCCAAGGGTTCATTGTCAGAGCTGCCCTTTTCTGTGAAGTTCTCTCTCTCTCTCTCTCTCTCTCTCTCTCTCTCTCTCTCTTTCTCTCTCCTCTCTCTCTCTCTCTTCCCCCTCTCCAGATAGGTTTTGGTGTGCCAAGAAAAAGCCATTGTGATCTCATGGGGACAGAGTGCAGAGGCTCTTTCCCCCTGTGCATCTTTGGGCAGAATTACAAGAGTATTTGAGACCAGGAATTCTGATTGTTTTCAGTCTGGACAAAAAGCAGGAGGACCAGCTTAGTAGTGCAAGGTTGTCAGGAGGAGATTTCCTCAGTCACCTATGCAGGTGTCAGCTGGAAATTCAGAAAGGGATGATACTGCCTGGGAGGTTCATGGAATTACAGCGTCTCACTTCTTCTCATTGACTGCTGTTTAGGGCCAGCACAGTCATTGTATTTCATCTATTAGCCAGGAAGCCTTCTGAACTAGAAGCAAGAAAACAAAACAAAATAAAACAAACAAACAAAAAACCGCTAAAAGGTCTGAGATACAGCGCAGTGTGCGCTGACTTAATTCAGTTTGTAAGGTGCAAGTGGGAAGAAATGGGGAAAAGGAACATCTAGAGAACACTGGTTGAAGATGGCGATTGCTGGTACTTGGGCAACGAGGGGCCATGTGGGACTAAATTACTTTAGAAGCCTAAAGTTCAAACTTCTCATCAGTTCACCTTGGCCACACACCTACCTCCAGTGTGGTCTGTGTTACTTAGGGTCCAGTCAAAGAAATGAATGATGCAGAATATTTCAAACAATGAATTTATTAATCCACAGTGTGTGTGTGTGTGTGTGTGTGTGTGTGTGTGTGTGTGTGTGTGTGTACACGTATGTATGTATACATGTGTGTGGGTTGTGTGCACAGTGTATGTATGGAGGTCAGAGGACGATCTTGGGGGTGGATCCTCAGGGTCTTCCTTTTCTTTTGTTTGAGACAAAGTCTATTGCTGGTCTGGAACCTCACTGAGTTGGTTAAACTAGCCTAGCCTGAGGGCTTGAAGGAATCCACCTGTTTCCACCTCCCATCTCCTCATGGTTGGGATAATAGGTGTATGTCTGGGTTTCCAGTTGTTTGGGAATCCTAAATCAGGTTCTCATGCCTGCAAGGCAAGTGCTTTACTGACTTAAGGTGTCCCTACCAAAACTCCCTCTGACATGGCCGAGAGATTGGCAATAGCACCCTAGGGGGAGAGTTGGTGGGAGGGACTGGACTCTGCTGGGCAAGCTGGAACCAGGAATGTACACAGATCCCTGTGAAAGCTACCCAAGGGAGGGGGGTTCTGGATCTCACCTAACCTTTGTCCTCTAGCATCCTCCAGTTTCTCATTTGTTATCTTCCATTGTTCACACCCAGGCAGACATGAATTTGAGAAATGGAGTCTTGGGAGTGGCCACTCTGCGATAAATTCAAGCACTTGACTGTCCTGAGTCACAGGGAGGGATTCTGACTCTGCCAGCTTTTTGTTGTTGTTTGTTTTTCCAAGACAGGGTTTCTCTGTGTAACAGCTCTTACTGCCCTGGGACTTGTTTTGTAGACCAGGCTGGCCATGAACTCACAGAGATTGCTTGCCTCCACCCCCTAAGTGCTGGGATTATAGGCGTGCACCACCATTGCTAGGCTTTTGCCATCTTTTTTCGAAGGCCAAGCTCTGGCACACCATTCTGCATCGCTCACAGTCCTGACTGAACATCGCGCTGGATTCCTGACAGCAGCAGCTCACAGTCACATGTGCACTGAAGCTGGGCTTCCAGGAGAGTTGGTGGGCGCTCCCTGCAGCTGTCTGCAAGTCAGAGGAACAAGTGTTTCTATGCAGAAACAGATGGTTTCATTGTATCTCCTCCCAGCTCTCGTAATTACAAACCAGCTGCTGGAGCTGAATGCAAAGGGATTTAGGGTTTGTAGTTCAGTGTAAATTTGGAGTGTGGTTCTAGGTGAACAGTGAGATAGGAAGGGCTGGACAGGAGGAGGAAACAAGTTCATTGTTGTTGGGGAAGAGTGGATGGATTTGCCTAGAAGAGGAATGGACCCTCCAGTGCTTGGAAGTGGGGGAGAAATAATAATGGGAAATAATAATGTGTATTTGTCTCCAGAGGGTCAGAATGAGACAGGATGAGGAAGGGAGGTGGCAGAGGTATGGGGTGGCGGTGGGGCCACGGGGAGCAGTCAGGAAGAAATCTCACATACCTCTTGGGCTTCCTGGAAGAATATCCAGTGTCTTACTGGGGTGAGTGGGAACCAGTGGGCACTGTTTGAGCTTTTGTAAGTGAGTAAAGCCTGCTATTGGTTTCCCTGGGGGCTATCCTATCCTTGGAACACTGGGCTGGAGCCCTAAGAGAGTCTAGCGGCTGAGGGGCAGACCCATCCTTGGTGTCCTCCCCGCCCACTCTGAACTCTGGGAATTCTGCGCGTGTTACCTAAGAACCTCCTCTCATTTCCTTCCCTTCTGCCAACAGGTGGATCTCGAGCGAACCTTTACATTTCGAAACTCAAAGCAGACCTACTCAGGGATTCCCATCATTGTAGCCAACATGGACACTGTGGGGACATTTGAGATGGCTGCGGTAATGTCACAGGTGGGAGCTCAACCACCTCACTGGATCCTCAGCGTGTGTGTGTGTGTGTGTGTGTGTGTGTGTGTGTGTGTGTGTGTATAGTGCTTGGACTCATTGTTTGCTGAGTCTAATTGTCCAAAGGAATGTGTCTTTTCTTCTGTAGTCAAATGTGCCACATCTGAGCTCTGCCCTCTGTGATATGGTCTAAATATGTCTCTGTCTCTTCTGTGAAACTGCCTGTGATGGTTTTAGAGATCAGGCTTTCAAGAGGAAGTTAGGCAACAGGACGAATGCCATATTGGAGAGTGCCACCCCCTTTAAAACATATAGAGCCCCACTTAGCATGTAGCTCTTAATGCATTGTGTTGTGGGGGGTGCTATTGTTTATGCTGTAATATACCTCTCAGTTCTTATCATAACTACATGGGGTTAGGCTCCTTTTGCGGGTGGGGAAACTGAGGCAGACAGAGAAAGAGGAGGGACATCTCGCCCCAGGGCCTTCAGTCAAGTAGAGAGGCAGGACGTAATCCCAAGGTGACTTTAGAACCAGCAGGATTCCATCTAAAATGGATGGACCCCTAGGAGAGTTCAAGGTGTCTTTTGTCTAGTGTCCTGGCCTGAGAAAAAAAATGGAGGAAAGGCCGGTTTTAGGCATTTGTTGCCTCACAGAGCTGTGTGTCAGGGGTGAGAATCTTCCGCATCCGAGACTGGAGTGTTTCCGGGTGATGAGCATGGAGACATGTGTATCTGTTTCTGCTCATCATGTCTGCCAAGTACATAGATAAATGCAATTAGTCGGAAAGCATCTCACTGTGGGTGGCAGGTCTGACCACGGGAGGCACTGGGATTCATCATCAAGCAGCGATGAGGAGGGAAACATTTTCAAATCATGAGCTCAGAAAGCGGAGCTGGAGGTCATCCACCTGATGGAGGATTGGCTGTATGACTGTCAGCTCTGCCAGAGGGGGGTCCGAGGCAAATAAATTAATTGCTAAAGGGATGTGGTGTTTTTCCCTCCCAATCTTTCCCTTGCTTTTCTCACTAATGACTGCTTGTAATGAATTTTGAAAGTATGTTGTGCTGTGAGAAAGTGTCCTGAAGATTCACATGTTGAAGGGTTTTTCCCAGGGTGGTACTTTTAAAATACAGCCTTTAAAAGATGGGGCCTGGCAGGAGGTCTTCAGGTCATTAGAGGTGTGGTCTTGAAAAGGGAATATAGGACCCCCCCCCCATCTTTCCCTCTCCTTTACTCCCTGGCTGGGGATAAGGTGGTTTTGATGTGCTCTGCACTAAACTGACATGCCGAAGCCCCAAGAGCAAAGGACCTTCAATAGAGCAAGCCAAAACAAGCATTTTAATCATCTCAGGTGTTTTGTTATAGGTACCATTGGCAGCAATTAACAGCATGAATGGGTGTGGGGCTCAGCAGGTGGGGCTCAGGGAGCAACACACATAGCCTGGTTTGTCTGAGTGCTTGACTGTTACCCATGAATAACCTGGAACTTGCTATGCCCCTCCCATTGCCACGGCAAAGTTCCACAGGAATGCCACAGCCTACGTTGGCTGAGATAACCATGTGTGGGTTCTGTGAGGTTCTATTTTTAGGATCCACAGACAGTGTGAATTAAGAGTCAAAGAATTTTAGAGTGGGGAACTGGAGGTGCCGGGTGACTCAGAAGTGAGAGGAGAGGCCTCGGAGAAAGGAAGTTTTGATTCTGGCCATTGCTGTAAGCAGTTGCTAAATGAATTATTTCTTCCTCCTTTGCCCTCGCCCGCTCTTGGAGGTAGGGCTTGCTCTATAGCTCTGCTGCTCTTCAGCTGCCACTGATCCTCCAACCTCAGCCTTCGGAGCACCAAGTGTTAGAGTTCTAGGCATGTGCCCTCTATGGTATATTTTTGCTTTATTTTTCTTAAATTCCTTAAGCCCCGTTTCTCATAACCATGATAATTCTGTTCAAAATTGTTCTTTCTGAGAATTCCATAGTGTCGGCAAAGCATTGGCCCAATGCTGGTCAAATCGGGTTCAATAGCCGAAGATGGAGGGTTATTTACGTAAGCCCTGCCTTTCTTGGCTTTCAGCAAGAAATATGTAGGCTGTGTATTGGATGAAGCTTTGGGTGTAAGGCAAGGTCCTTTGGTTGGCTGAACAGAAGCTTGCAGGAGAATGGTCATTCTTCTGGTCTGGGGGACGGACGGTCTACATGCGTGTTCTTGACCTGTCTTGGGTGTGAGCAAAAACTAGGTAGGCCAGCTGGGTGGGAAAGCTCCTTTATTCTTGGCAGCCCTTCCCTGGCTGAACACAAATTGTCTGATTGTATCAGCAGGAGACCATTTTGTGATCCATTGCTTCATTGCATACACCTTTGTTTGTTTCTTGGCTACTAGGAACACTTTCGGAGCAAATTAGGCATGGATAGCAGCCATCCAGCCACCTATGGCTTTGTCTGTGGCTTACCCCCAGGTGGAGGGGGAGATGGGCTTCCCTGACTCCTTCCTGACAATCTGGTTTTGTTTCCTAGCACGCCATGTTTACAGCCGTTCACAAGCATTACTCCTTGGATGACTGGAAACGTTTTGCGGAAAACCACCCTGAGTGCCTGCAGGTATGGCAACTTGTTTTTAGTCACAAGGGCTGAGGGGAAGAAAAGGCTTCATTGATGTCAAGAGTATTTGGAAGCTAGTGGGTCCCTGCCAGGGCTATGTTGAGGAAACATCAGGGTATTAGAAGATGCCAGGATTTCCCTATGAGGACAGCTTCTCCTTGGAGACTGAAGCATCTATCACCAGCCTTGGGAAGGCCTTGCTTCCTGCCAGGGATTTCCAGGTGAATCCAATCTAAGTGCTTTTTCCTGGCTGCAGACAGCGTGTCCTAATTATAATGAATTGCCCTTTACTTCAGTACTCTATACACCTGCTGGGATGGCTGTCATTAGAATGGTGTGAGAATTGGTGATGCGGAGAAATTGGAATGCTCGTATGTGATCGGGAGGAATGTAGGTACTGAGGCTGCCTTGTGCATGACCTCAAAACCTCCTAGTGCCGGAGAGTTTAATGTCAGCTTAACACAAGCTAAAGTCACCCCAATTAAGAAAATGCCTCCAGAAGATCCAGCTGTAGGCAAGCCTGTGGAACATGAAGAATGAAAAACAAAAAACTAATGATTGATGGGGGAGGGCTCAGCCCATTATGGATGCTGCCATTTCTAGGCTGGTGGTCCTGGATTCTATAAGAAAGCTGGCAGAATAAGCCACGAAGAGCAAGTCAGTAAGCAGCACCCTTCATGGCCTCTGCATCAGCTCCTGCCTCCAGGTTCCTGCTCTGCTTGAGTTCCTGTCTGACATCCTTGGAATCAGAAGCCAGATAAACCTTGCCATTTCCAAGTTGCTTTGGTCACAGTGTTTCATCACAGCAATAGTGACACTAAGACATTCCTTAAGAGAGTAAGCATGAGTTACCATGGTGACCCAGCAGTTACATTTCTAGAAGAAATGAAACCATGTATTTGAAGGTAGACTTTTGTTCACTAAATGCTCATGACATTTACAATAGCCCCAAAGTAGGAAATGTAAACTAAACAACGAAATGTCTAGTTGATAGACAAATGAATAAAACATGATCTATCAGTCTGATATACTGATAATCTGCCACAGAAGCGAATGAAGTATTTGACTTATGTTATAGTGTGAACAGACCTTGAGAATATTTTGCTGAGTGAAAACCAAACACAAAAGCCCCCAAGTGTGATTTCATTGACACTAATTGCCCATGGTGGGCAAATACTCATGGTTATCTGGGCCTGGTAGCAGCAGGAAGAAATTAAGGGCATTTCTTAAGAGTCATTTGAGCCAGGCCTGGTGCCATAGCCTGTAATCTTAGCTACTGAAGAGGCTGAGGAGGGAGAAACTCAAGATGGAGGGCAGCCTGGGCAGCTTAGTAAGACCCTGTCTCCGAAATAAAAAGGTAAAAGAAACTTGAGATGTAGCTCAGCCAGGATTTACCTGTGAGGATTAAAAAGTGTGTAACACCCTAGATTCAGTTCTCAGTGCTGTCAAAAAATAAGTAAGTAAGTAAATAAATAAATAAATAAATAAATAAATAAATAAAAGTCCTTCTGGGAATCAGGAAATTGTTCTGTGATAATGGCATGACTAAATATGCTTAAAATCATTGTGTACTTAAGGTGGGGTCGTAGTTTAAGGCTTCTGTTGCTTCGATGAAGCACCGTGACCTAAAGCATCCTGGGGAGGAACGGCTTTATTTCCTCTTACAGAATGTGCATTGTGTAGTCCATCACTCAGGGAAGTCCGTGCAGGAACTGGGGACCGGCAGGAACTGAGCAGAGGCCACGGAAGAGTACTGCTTACTGGCTTAGAGTTTGCCTGGCCTACTTTCTTCTACCACCCAGGACCACCAGCCCAGCAGTGGCACTGCCTATAGTGATCTGGGCCCTCTCACTTCAATTATCAATCAAGAAACTGTACCACAGGCTTGCCCATAGGCCAGTCTGGTGGGAACATTTTCTCAATTGAGATTCTTGCTTCCAAAATGACTGTAGCCTGTCTCAAGTTGACATAAAATTAGCCAGTATAGGTGACTTCCATGCTGTGTTGCTATGCCTCAGTAGCCCTGCTTCATTAAGTAAATGGGCATTTAAAATTGGTATCTCTAAGCTCTCCCATAGCATGACTGAGTTTCCATCCAGTATATATATCTGCTGGTTCTAAGCCAAATCCAGCAGTGAGGTCTGTGCTTGCCTCTTTGTGGGCAGACCATTTATGATGAGATAATGATTTTGGGTGCTGGCATGGCTGCTGCTGCTGCTGCTGTCACTATGATTTAATTAGGTGTGGACTTCCACTATAAAAAAGTTGACTTGAGATAAAATAATTCCGACTCAATATAAAGTCTTTCCTTTTCGCTATATTGTTCAGAGTGTCTCTGCATATACCTTGCATATGCCAAAGTCCTTGGTCATTCAGGTTCTGTAGATAAATCTACATATAACTTACACATATCCTCCTATAGATTTAAATCATTTCTATATGACTTATCATGTCCCATACAATACAAATGCTGTGTAGCTAATTATTGTATCCTATTGCTTAATAACAACAAAACAACAAAAATCCCACATCAACCTGGGTGTAGTTTTTTTTAAAAAAAGACTTATTTTTATCTGTGTGTGTTTGCTTACCTGTTATCTGTGTGCATTATATGTATGCCTAGGACCAACAGAGGCCAGAGGAAAATGCTGGATCCTCTGGAACTGGAGTTACATATGGTTGTAAGCCTTTGTGTGGGTGCTGGGGACCCAACCTAGGTCCTCTGTAAGGGCCATAAGCACTCTTAACCCCTGAACCTTCTCTCCAGCCCATGGTTTTATTTTTATTTTAAGACAGTATGTTTTAGTTTCCCACCTCTGTTTCTGTGATGACACACTCTGACAAAAGCAACTCAAGGGCACATTTACTCTGGTTCATAGTTCAAGGGTACAGAGTGTCATGGTAGTGAGGTTGAGGTGTCAGGAGCTGGGAGCATTGGGTCACATGTATGCACAATCAGGACGCCTAGGGTGATGAATGCCTGCTGCTGCTCAGCTCTCTTTCTCCATTTACAAATATCCCAGGATCCTAGCAAAGGAATGGTGCCATGGGTTTCCCCTTCTCAATCAATGCAATCTCGGCGATCTCACAAAGGCATGCCCAAGAGACCTGTCTCCCAGGTCATTCTAGAATCTCTCAAGTTGGCAATACTAACAATCACACAGGGTGTGGTGTAGCTCAGACTGGCCTTGAGCTTAGTACGTAGAAGAGAAAGACCTTGTGCTCTTCCAGCTGAGACACATCCCAGCCACGTATTTCCTTAACCTGTAAATGGTGGTTGCTCTCACTCGTTCTTTCTGGAACTTTCCGTGGCGCCCTTCTTTGAGTTTCCCCCTAGCACACATTTGCATCAGTAGCTGCACAGCACAAAGTTCTACACAACAAGCTTGAGAAAACTGAGTAGAAGCCGAGGACAAGGTCTTGAGTATTTCAGAATATGTTTACTGTAAAGTTTTGTTGTTGAGTCCCGGGTTCAAGGATGGGTGTAAGTTAAGCATGGGAAAGAAAACAAAAGTTTAGGTCAAAAATGGAAGGAGCCTGTCTTCTTTACCTCTGTTGTTGTTTGTCCCTTAAACAGAGCCTCTGTGCTTGCTCAGGGTAGACCTCAGAGGGGTGCTGGATGGAGGGAGGGTCTTCCTTTGAATACTGCTGTTCATAGCTATCTTCTATGCTTCACTTGGCCACAGCATGTAGCCGTGAGTTCGGGCAGTGGGCAGAATGATCTGGAGAAGATGAGCCACATCTTGGAAGCCGTGCCACAGGTGAAGTTCATCTGCCTGGATGTGGCCAATGGGTATTCGGAACATTTTGTGGAATTCGTGAAACTGGTCCGATCCAAATTTCCTGAACACACCATCATGGTAGGTATGATAGGATGCTCTCAAGATGGGGTGGGGCCTGTGCCTTTCCATAGCTTTTGTGGCAAGAGTAGTTTCGAATCCCCAGGAAAGGGAAGATCTGAAGAACTAGCTTTTCTTTGAAGAATGAATACAATCTTGATCAATATCATGGATGCTGGCCCTTTATTTTTGGTAAATGGCATCTATTGTCTGTTACAGATGAGACCTGTAAAAAAAAAAATAGAGTGGGGAATCCCCATCACCCCTTAACAGAGTATCTATTTTAAAAATCAAAAACTCCAGGCTTTCAGTTCAACATGTTGACCTCCACCCCACCCATGCTTATCAGCAGACAGCTGTGCCACTAGGGTCAGCCCCTTCGACATAATCATTTTATGAAAGTTGATTAATGATGATAGGTTCATTGAGTTGGCATTATATCTAAGACCTTTGTTTTGTGATTTTTTTCCCCCTCCGTTTTCTGAATTTTCCCAACAGTTGGCACCTTCATAACTCACTAAAGCTATGTTGATTTCTCTCAGGGTGAACTGGCTAAAAGCAGGTGGCAATCACTAGTTTCTGTTGGGCTTTTGGGAAAAACTCAATATGTATACCCATCTTTACTGGTCTTAACTTTACTTGTCCAGCTGAGACATATCCAGGGCGTGATTCAGCCCTGCACCTCTGTGTTCTCAGACCCGTTTGCCTCACATTTCCCCCACGGAAGTTGGCACAAAGGCATCGTTTCTGCTAGTGCAGTTCAGTCTTCTCTTTAGGGACCTTTCTTTGCTAAGTTGCTTATGGTCGTGGTATTTTATCACAGCAACAGAAAATTAAGTAATACAGAAATCATCTCAAGGGAAGAAAAATGGGTCAGGGTCAAGGCATTCTCCTTTAAAGACATGCCCTTATCGACATACTTTCTTCATTGTGGTCTCACTTAGTTCTTCATGTAGCCTGCTTCCCTATGAGCTCATCAATGGATTAATTCACCAGTGAACTCGGTACCCTCTTGATCCAGGCACCTCTCAGCAGCACCTTCAGCTAAGAACTGGGTCTTCAACATCCAAACCCCTTAGGGAGCCCCTTCGTCCCATGCCCATGCCTGCACTTCCTGAGATAGACTTCCTAATGATAAAGCTGCCAGGTGCGTCTTTCTCTGTTGAGTCTTTGAAGGGATTTCCTGACAGCTCCTTTAGGGTCTTATCTTCCCTTGAGAGATCTTCACCTGACTTCTCTACATCCTCCACAGCCTTTGCTGAACTAGTAAGCCAGCCACTGTGAATGTTTGAGTCTGTGAACCACTCCAGCAAATGTCCTGAGAAGGCGGGCATCGAACCTTGGATTTAAAACCCAGATAGCTAGGAGCTGTGGGTAGCCTACTGCTCTGGGGTAGGACTGAGCTCAGATCTGTGGGATCTGACACTATCTCTAGGTACCATCTGAACTGAATTAAACTGTAGGACACACTGCTTGGAATTCCTTAGTGCCTGGGAGGACACCATGTGTTTGTTGTGGGTGAGTGTAAGAGTTTAGCTTTCTCCTACGTGCACGTAAGTACTAGGCATGTTTTAGGGAGATGCCAGTTCCTGCTCATGTTTCCAACATCTGGGTAAAGACTAGGAACACGTATCCCACATTTACTACAGACCAGAAGCTGGAGAGATGGCTCAGTGGTTAAGGTCACTGACTACTCTTCCAGAGGACCTGGGTTCAAATCCCAGCACCCATATGCAACTCAATGCTGTCTATAACTCCAAGATCTGTCTCTCACATAGGCTTACCTGCAGGCAAAGCACCAATGCATATAAAAGTAAATAAAAAAAAAAACAACCCAACTTTGATTTGTTCTTAGGTTTGGGGATTATCATAATGCCACATTAACTTAACAAAACTGCTTTTGCGAGGAAGCCCATCCATTATGCTGCCCATTTAGACTTGGTCACACCCCCTTGTCCTTGTTTACCTGCTACTGGGCAGTATGAGGTGAAAGGTACAGTGCCTTTGTTTCTAGTTGGGGAGGCTGACTTTGGACTTGCACCTGAGCATAGTGAACTGCTATCCCTTCCTGTGTCCCATACCACTCATGTACACCTAGTTCCAGGCCTCGCCTGGCACCCCTGTCAGTAGCCTTTGTGGTAACTTTCTTCCAGACCACTGAAAAGAGGGAAGGGAAATCTAGAACTCCAGAAGAACAGAAGCCCTGGTCCCTGACTGGGATATGGTGACTGTGAATAGCACTTGACATTAAGTTTAACTTCTCTGACCCAAGTCAGGCATGTAGCAACTTGTATTTGTTGGGGATACTGTGCCTTCATGGACTCCATGAAACAGAAAGAAGAGCCCAAGGCTGCTGTGATCTGGGGGTGTCTGCAGGGGCCTGGGGGTGTCTGCAGGGGTCTGGGGATTCTGCAGGGGTCTGTGTTCTGCAGGGGTCTGTGGTTCTGGAGGTGTCTGCAGGGCTTTGGCAGAGTCTGGAGGGGTGGGATCTACTCTGTTTTAGTTGCTCTGGAAACTGGAGGATTAACAGCTGAGAGGCTGTTTCCATTTCCCGCCCTCATGGCATGCAGGTTGCTTACAAAGGATTCATGGGAAATGATGGCAGCTTAAGGAGGTGGCTTAGTGGTTCTGCCTCACATCTTTGGTAACTTTATAAATTATGAAAAGTGTATAAACAGATGTTTATTAGGGAGTTACAAGCCTCACTTCAGTGACCCTACATCCTGAGCCCCCACCCCCACGCCCCCACTCCTCACCTCAGCTTTTCTCCTAGTTACTGCTTCCCACTTGGCAGCTGTCTGGTGTTGACACTCACACATTCCTAAACAACACCATTTGGGTTGGCCTGGTGTTGTGAGTGTTATGTGAGTGGTCATCCTGTCTGTATTTGTGTCATCTTTTGCCCCCTGGTATATCTGAGGTCCTTGCTGCTGTTTTCTCAGCTGTGTTTGTGGTTGCCAAGACTGAAGGCCATTCCTACTTCCCAGAAGCCTTTCGTACTCTTTTCTCTGCCTCCACTTAGTAGCTAGTTGTAGCACCATTAAACTCACCAACTCAGTGCCCTGTCTGTCTCCCTTCAGGCTGCTGTCAAAATTCCATACACTGGGTGACTTACAAACAGTGGAAACTTACTGGACACCCAAGACCAAGGTCTGCCCACTGTCTAGTGATACTGTTCCTTAATAGGTGACCTGTAGGTATGATCTTAAATTGCAGAAAGGTCCACACATGCTCCCTCAGTCCTCTCTAAGGAGCAGAAATCCCATTCATGAGAGTCCCCTCTTGAAGGCCACATCACTCCATCTTAGTGCCCTGGGGTTTAGGTTTCAGGGTATAAAGTTTGAGAGGACACAGACATTCAGACCACAACATTCCTGAAGTCTGTAGGCTCATGATCTGAGCCCTATGGGGACTTTTTGACTCTCATGTTCCTTGCTTGGGAAAGGAGTTTGAAGACACTAAGTAATAGAGATTAATTGTGGGAGTTACATAGGATGCTTTTTTAAAATTCATATGGTGTACCCCAATAGTTGCTCAATTGCTTTTAGGTAGTAAGTTCCATTGAAAGCTCTGAACAGTGAGTCACAGAAGAGAGACGGGACCTGGGCAGTGGAATTGTTTTAAGAAGTAATAGCAGGGGTGGGGACATAGCTCCGTTGGTAAGGTGCTTGCCATGCAAGCATGACAACCTGGTTTGGTTCCCAGAACCTATGTAAATAATGAAAACAAAAAGGGGCATATGAAATCTCAGTGCCGGGAAGGAAGAGGCAGGTGAGTCCCTGGAGCTCACTGGTAAGCCAGCCTAACTGAATGGGAGAGCATCGGGTAAAAAGGGAGAGGCCCCATCACAAAACATAAAGTGGATGGTGTCATGAGGTTGACCTCTGGCCTCCATACTTAGGCACACACATGTGTGTTTCACATACACACATAGAACACCCAAAAATAAAGACAGGCACAACTCACTTCTCAAGATGTTGCAAGCAAGCTTGAAATGGCTGGCTGGTGGTGAGGGCCACGCTTGGCCTGTTTGCAAACTGAGGTGGATTGCGTGCCATGCTCAAGAACAAAGGCCAGAGGAGATCGGGCAGTACAGGAAGGGGGGGGGGCAGAAAGTGTGTGTAACAAGTGCAGAGTCAGGGGTTGCCAAGAGGGAGCTTGGCAGAAGAGGCGGATGGTGACTTCCCACAAGCCCCCAGGCAACCTCAAGCAGGGAGGGCCTCTGCAGTGCCTGCTGGCTTGCCTGGAGGTGTTTCGTTGTCCTGGTTGGTTTCTCCAGCAATGAACTGAAGACTTTGGCAAGGTAGATGTTTATCCGTCAGCCATTCACCACCGCCTGCACCTGCGCTGACCCCTGGAATCCGTGGTTCATTCAGAAACCTCCAGCTGGACGCTCATGCCTTTGGTTCTGGGTGGTTTTGAAAATGTTAATTTCTCCTCTCTGGCTCTCAGAGGCACTGTGGGCAGGAATTAGTATTTACCCAGTGTTCTTGAGCTGAAGGGTACAGGGTGAATGCTGAGTGCTTTTAGAATCGCTGCGATTCCTGGCCGCTGCATCAGGCTCCTCTGGGCTCCCTGCTGCCTGGCCTTGATGTCCACCTGTGGCCAGCTGGGGAAGGGAAGGCAGAGATGCTGCCTGAGAGAAGGGTTAACTATTCCCGACTATTTTCCTGCTGAACATTCTAGATGCTCTTAAATGGAGTAATACAGACTTGGCATGTCTATTATCTTTTCCTCTCTCTTTTTTTTTTTTTTTCTGTTTTGATTTTGGTTTTGTTACTGGGCACTGAACCCTCATAGGTTCACATGCCCAGAGCTGTTTTTTTATTCTGTCCCCGCCTGCCCCCTGCACCCTGGCTTTAAACATACTAGATGAAGGATCTACTAAGCTGCACTCCCAGCCATCTTTTATTTATTTATTTATTTTATTTTAAATTTAGAGACAGGGCCTCACTGAGTTGTCTACACTGGCCTTAAATTTGTGATCCCACTGCCTCAACTTGCCATGTTGCTTGGATGACGGGCATGTGCCACCATGTCAGGAATCATTTCATTTTTTTGACTAGGGCCTTGAAGCTAGATGTTGTCCCTGGGTCTATTAGTCAGCTTTCTGACAAAAACCTGAGAAACAGTAAGGTTTGTTTTGGCTTCAGGTTTCAGAAATTGTGGTCATGTTCACATAGCTCTGTAGTTTCTGGGTCTGTGTTGAGGTGGACATCATGAGAGGGTATATTTGGTGGAGAAAAACCATGTACCTCATAGGAAGCAGCGATTTGGAGACAAAGGTGCTAGGGATAAGACACACACCCCCAGCACCCACTTCCTCCAGCTGGGCCCCTGGTCTCCTGAAGTTCCCACCTCTCCCAAGAGGTTAGAATTCATCAATGGGTGCACCTATTGATGCAGCATCTTCAATTCCCCAAGTCCCACCTGCCAATACTACGGCACTGTGGACCTAGCATTTGCCCGTGAGCTTTGGGGATATTTCAGACATAAGCCATGACACTGCGATAGTGGGGTTGCCTAGCAGGAACTGCTTCCTGCCTGCCTCGGTGCCTCAGATCAGGGTACATAGTTTTTGCTTTGTCATGGCTGTCCCAGAAGTGAACAGGCATAAACTACCACAGTGACAGGGCCTATCATGCTTCCATGGGCTATCACACTCTCAAGCCTGTATCCACTCCCTACACAATGCACTTTATACTAACATAAAGCACCCCCACTTAATCACCCCTGGCCAGCCCCTCCCTACACGCAGACCTAACTCCTGTGTCCAAGGAGCCACCTATGTAGAACTGGAAACTTCACACCAAAGCCTGATGGTTATCTTTGTTTCTGATTTGGTCTTGTCCCTTTTTGAATGAATTGTGTCCTCGTGGCTTCCAGCAGAACCATTCCTGCTGGAGAAACGAACAGTTTTTCACTTTGCGAATGACACATCTTTGTGGCTAAGTCTTTGGCCGGGTGCTTTTGATAGTTTCACTGGGAGATAGTTCACATGGAACAAGGGACATGCACACTTTGGAGGTTCCAATTTCTTTCCAGGAAATCTTGTGCTAGAAAAGACATCCCACCAAGAGTTCATCTGACATTTTCTTCTTAGTATTTAGTGTTACTAGCCACTGATGATTTGAGAAATAAAAAGTAGACTCACACTGGCGTGTTAATTTTGATTATTACTGAAGCTGGATATACTCCCTGCATATATTAGCCATGTCTCCCTCTTTTTGTTTTTGTTACATTTTTTTCCTTATGGAGCTTGAGTTCTCCATATGTTCTAGTTAGTCACCCTTTGTCATAGCTGAGCATGCTTTTCTCTAGCTGGCTATTTTCTGGTTGTATCATCTACTCGAATGTATTTCATTTTTATATAGACGGCTCTAACTTTGCCTTTACACCCCCCCTCCCCCGGCTGAATTTACAGGAATACAGCTTTACCTTTAACCCAACTCCAGTCCTCCATCTGTGACATCTGTCATCATTTTCTGTTGGCAGCTGGTACTTATCTTCAAGTAGCTTCAAGCTGGCCTCATCACCTCTTTCTAACAACCCTTTTCTATGAAGTTCAAGTTATTTTGTAGAAGTTAAAAAAAGAAAATTTCCCTCGGGGAATTAATTCAGCGAAAGGACACTTGGGCTTTGGTGGGAGTACAATGAGTAAGGCTGCATTTTGTAAAATGTGACTTTGCACGGTTGTGAGAACCCAGCCAGGGAGTGTTGCCAAGGATCCTGAGTACCAGCTGAAGACTCTATGGGGGCAGTGAGTTGTAATAAAAAGGCCTATTTTTGCTCTCTCAAGCTCCTGCAGTCAGAGAGCTCGTACTATTTCCAGGGCAGATGCATTTGTGTGGTTGTTGGATTCCGCCACTTCCTGGCTTGCAGGGCTATTCTTAGGACCGAAGCTTCACTCCATTTGTAGACAAAGCCTGTGCCAGTGGCATATGTCCCATCAGGGCCTGCCCGCCCTTTTGTACCAAGGTGGGAACCCCAGCCCTGGGGCCAGATACTCTGGTGTTTTCCAACTGTGGCTTTCTGGGTTCTATAGCGATTCTCCAGTGCTTTCCCAGACGCCAAAGTAGCTTATGCCCATTGCTGAGGGTTTTGGTCATCTGACTGTGTATGCTTCATTGCTTATGGATTTGGGGTTCCCTAGATGATTTTGTTTCTAACTGACGAATGTTGAGATGTTACACAAGCCTGACCTAGACACTCTCAGATTTCCTATTTTTCTAAAAATTCCACATTTCTGTAACTTTGCATGCCATTAGTTCACCCAGGGGACTTCCCCAAAAGCCATCTCCTGGTATCAGCTTCCGTGTTGGAATTTAGTAGAAGAGAAAGCCAGGAACACACTGGTTACGTTAGCTTCAAAATTGGATGTAGTGTTTTCTTTTTGTCTCCTGGAACCCTGGTAGCTTCAGTACATACATACATTTGGGTTGAGAAGTAGGGCTCCCCACTGGCCACCCCATGACCCCCTATACCCCATCCCCAGAGTCCTTCCCTGTGATGGAGAGCTGTGTTCTTCCTGTCACAGGCAGGAAATGTGGTGACAGGAGAGATGGTGGAAGAGCTCATCCTCTCTGGAGCAGATATCATCAAAGTGGGAGTTGGACCAGGTAAGACCTATGGACCACAGCACGACTGTCGATGGGGAGCAGGGGGCCGGGGCTTGGGGTTCCTGGAGATAGCTACATGGGAACCATGAAAGACTCACCCAGGGATTCAGTGCACATTCTCTGGAAGATCACTGAGCTTCTCTATGAAGCCATGTCACTGAGCAGCTCTATGATGTCCCCAGTCACCTTCTACAGGAGCAGGCATGTGTTGTGGGATAATCCTTTTGTACACTGTGAAGATATGGCTCTGATTTACCTCATATTTAATAAAAAGTCCCGTGTCATTATTCGGGATCTGGCGGACTTATGAAAGTCCAGTTACAGGCATGTAGTTGAGTTTTGAGGCCTTGCTTAGGATGTTAATGTGGAAGGGCAGGCTTAGAGATCACTGATGTGATCACGTGCCTTGAAGAGGAAGGTCGGGGCAGGGAGTACATGAGGATAGTTAGTGACGAAGAATGAGTAGGTGAGGACAGTTAGTGAGGAAGAATGAGTAGGCTCCGGTGAGTGTTTGAGGGACCCGAAACATTGTAGATAGACTTGTGACTAAGTGGCCAAGCTGAACATGACCTGTGGCCCAGGCAGTTAGCCACCTGATAGGAATCCCCCTTTTAGACACTAGGGTCACACACAGGCCTCTTGAATGAGGCAATCGGTAGAGTTGTCCCAGCCTTGACCTGTGAATTGCTGTTTCTTATTGGGGCTGGCTGGTGTTTACCTTCCCATATTGTTTTCCATATCCAAGCAGGCATTCTCACTGCCACGTTTTAAAATTCTGCCCTGGTCATCCATTATCCCCCCAGACACTAGCATTGGAGAGGAGGAAAGAAAGAAAATAGACACTTTATCTGGGACTAAAAATACCAGCAGTTACACACACACATACACACACACACACACACACACACACACACTAAAAAACAACCACCATCTACCCCAAAAAGACAGTCTTAAAAAAGGAAGCAGACAGGAAGCATAAGTGCTTGCATAGGAAGAGGACGCCTTGTGCTTGCGATCCAGCATGTGTTAGTGCATATATTGAAAAATGGCCCTGTCTGCTCAGAAAGCATGCAGGCTTTTAACCTGCAGGGAGACTTCAAGCTCGGCTGTCATCCTGTGGTTTTCCTCATTGCCAGCCACTTAGGCAGATCATAACTTTCTGAGCAATATACACAGGACCTGGTCTGTCCCTACAGCAACACACAGAGACCCCACAAGGCATGCAGGAGGAGGTGAGTGAGTGGCGGGGCAGGAGTGTTGTGGTGACTCACTCATGCTTGAGTTCTGCATTCTTTCCATGCTATTTATAGTGCTCTCTTATGCACGAGGCTCATTCTCAGTGTCAGGTTAGACGAGAGGGTGAAATCTGCACAGCTTACTATCCAGCAGAGAAAACAGTCCCCAGCACCCCTGCACAAATAATAACTGAAGCAGCCTCCTCAAAAGGCAATGTGATGCATGGCTGCCCTGGAGCAGGGACGTTTCAGATGAAGCCCCCAAAATGAGGAAGGGTTAGCTGGACAGTAGGGAATGTTAGGTGAGTGGTGGAGGGGAGAGAGAGAAGAGAAGAGAGGAGGGGAGAGGAGGCAAGGGGAAGGGAGCAAGAGAAAAATTCAGAGTACAGAGAAGCCCAGAGGTGGGAAGAAACGGGCTGAAAATTTGGTGGTAAGTGCACAAGGAAAGGGGGCCATAAGAGGGAAGGCAGGCGGGGCTTGGAGGTTGGGACTCACTTGCTTTGGGGATAAGATGGGATTAGAAGTGGGAACAGGGGACATAGGATCAGGACACTGGTGCTCCCCTGGACCTGAGAGAACACAACCAGGACTGAGGGGGACATTGGTTCAGGAAGAGGCAAGAGTGAAAGATATCCATGTGTTGGCATGAATACTGAAAGCCAAGCTGACCTCAGGTCTAGGCCGAGTGGGGACTCAGGCCTCGGAGATGGGGTAGGACGTATAGCATGGAATGAAGAAAGATAGAAGCTATGTTATGTTCGGCCCAGAGTTGAATAATAGAAATACAGTTATGTAGCTTCCTCATCCCAGGGGTTTGTAAAGGTCAGGCCCAGGGACGAGCCCTTCTGCTCCCTAATGCAAATGTATTCCATTACAAGCATACCAGGTAGATGTTGGTTTGCTAGTCTCCTGGGCTGGGCAGTGAGGTAGGGAGAGTTTAGTAACTTGACAAAAGTTGAAGGTGAAGAAGCCTGGAGAAGTCTGGGAGGGTTCCCAGTGGTCCCTGGGAGTGGAGTCTGCATATGTCAAAGAGTGAGGGATGGATGAGGGGAGAGACGAAGCTGGAGCCTGTGTTCAACCTTTGCAGGGGAGCAGACATCACATGGGGAGGGGCAATGGGGGTTGTGTGGGAGATGTCTAGGACGTTTGCTGATGAGGATGGTGAAGACTTGAGGGGCACATGTAGCCAGTGGTATAGTGTGTAGTGAGACCGTGTCACTGACCAGCCAGCACTTATCCTGCAAGCATATGGCCACCGTTGGGGAAATGACACCTCCTCACCGGGGCAGGGCCACATGATGGTGAAGGGGTATCATTGTATGTTGTGTTCTACTCATGCAGAACCCTCCCTGAATCCACCTCTCCTCCTGCACAGGTTCTGTGTGTACCACCCGAACCAAGACAGGAGTGGGCTACCCGCAGCTGAGTGCCGTAATAGAGTGTGCTGACTCTGCCCATGGCCTCAAGGGGCACATCATCTCTGTGAGTATTAGGAAGATCTGGGAGCCTCTGGGGACCGTGAGGAGATCGTGACCATGGCCCTGGCCATGAGGGGCCATGCTGCCTTCAAAGACTCTAGTTCCAAATACTGTCACATTCTATAGGTACTAGGGATTTGGATGTCTATGAACTTGGGCAGGGCTGACACAGGCCATCATATCTCAGATTCAGCAGTTGGGAAATGCTCTGGGAAGCGATATGGAAGGTTTGTCCCAGATGAAATGATAGAAGGGAGCTGTAGAACATTGTTGAAACTAGAGAAAAGGTCATTAAAAAAGCCCTCAAAGACAGTTTTGGAGTAGTGAGCTGAGAAGAGGTAGAAGAATGTGTCACACAGATGAATTTCAGGACAACTGTGGGCACGAGCTCTGGGGGACATGTGAAAAACTGGGGTTTTCTTCCAAGTGCAGCGGGAAGCCATTAAAGATGCCAGTGCAGGGCAATGTGAGGAGGGCTTCTTTGGGAAGGATTGGGAAGGAACAGGCTAGGAGGAAATCTAGCCTGGGAGATGTGGCTCAGATGGGAGGTAACTGTGCCATCCACTAAGGGGTAGGCAGCAAGTCTGCAGAGCCATACTCCAACCCAAAGGGTGTTTCGGGAGTGGAATTAAGTCTTGGCAGTAGAGTTGGTATATGTGTGACTGGTAAATGAGGAAGAGTCTGCTTCTGCCCCATGGGCTGGTTTATAAGAAGGGCTACTGAGGAAAAAATTCACTTTGGATTTGTGGGTTCATGTTGATTTTGGGGGTACATGACAGGCACCAAGGGTTCATGGGTTGGAGACCTGGCCTCTAAAGAGCCAATTAGTCTTGGATCATTATAAATGGATGAGGAAGCAGGGGGATGCACAGGTGAGAGGTGCCCTGCAGACCTTGAGGCAGGGGCCTCTGACAGGAGGAGGGAGTCGGATGCTTCCTCCTCACCTGTCACTTGTTGAGGGCAGTATCAGTTAAGGCGTGGGAGTGAAGGAGTTGAGCATGGCACCAGTATTCTGACAGAAACTCCTGGAATGATGATGATGCCAGCATCATCAGCCATCAAGCGACACTAAGGATTGAGTGATTGAATGACAAGGTGCAGTGGGTCCTTTCCCTGTGTCCTACTCCACATCATTCATGGAGCCACCATGTAGACCACTGGCAATAGTCATGTGGTGTGAGTGACTCACTGTGGTGGACCATGGCACCTGCTTGCGTCGCTGAGATGGATGGATGAGCAGATGGATGGGTAGATGATGTGTCCAGTTGTTCCTTGTTATTCTCAAGCGGTAGAGTCCAGAATCTCTGTGGGGCACACATTGATGGAAGTAGCATGTAAGACTGTGATGGCACTGTGAGTCTGCATTTGAGAGCAAGGGCATTTCATGTAGCTGCGGCCACCCAGGAATACCAGGCTCTCATCTGCCCACGGTTCTCCAAGTTCCTTTCAGGAGCTAGCTGTGAGAATGTCTCCAAGACACTTGTGTTTATATACACGCATTTCTGGACTATATAATGAATTAATTCTTTCTGAGGTTAGCCCCGTTGTGTGACTTTTCCAGGGGAGGTGAAACATCTGTTCACACCAGATTAGGCACAGATGCCAGAACAAAGACATGGTCCCACCCAAATCCAGCTTGTGAACCAGCAGTTATTGGGCTTACTTAGAGCATGGTTGTGGAGTTAAGGACTATGTGTGTGTCAGAAACAGCTGCATCACTGCAGAGTACCACCCCGATGTGAGTGGCCACCTTACAGAGTGACACGATGTGGGGACAGTCTCAACTGTAGATGGCCTTCTACCCCCTTTATAATCCCCAAACCACATGCAGCTGGGCAGGAAGGTGGGAGAGGCTGGACTTTCAGACTCTCATCAGACCCTCCCCACTCTTTCCTGCTAAGAGGACTTGGCCTGATCTTGTGAGGGTCTCATGGTCAGGTCGTCACAGTTGCTCCAATTTTGCGATGCTAGGGATGATCTCCTATCAGGAGGATAGAGTTCCAAAGCCTAAGGTGTGATTGTAAGTCTCCATTAGCAGTGATCTTTGCCATCAGGGCATCACATACACATCTCGAATGGCCACTGCTGGCGATTGAGTGGAGGTTATGTCCCGTCAGTAAGGTCTGTCTTAAGCTTTCTACTGCTGCGATAAAACACCGAGAGCAAAAGGAACTTGGCGAGGAAAGGGTTTACTTCAGCTTAATGTTCCACATCACAGCCCATCCCTGAGGGAAGTCAGGGCAGAACTTGGAGGCAGGAGTTGATGCAGAGGCCATGAGGGGTGCTGCTCACTGGTTTGCTCCTCATAGTTGGCTCAGCCTGCTTTCTCATACCATCCAGGGCCACCTGCACAAGGGCGGCACCGCCTACAGTGAGGTGGGCCCACCCACATCAAAATCAAGAAGATGCAATACAGACATGTCTACAGGCCTAGCACACAGCTAGGCTGCTAGGTGCACTCTTCACATAGCAACAGTGCTGCAAGACATTTTCTTATGAAGATTTTCTCAACTGAGAGTCCCTCTTCTCAGATGAGTGTAGCTCAGTGCTTCTCAACCTTCCTGCTGCTGTGCCCCTCGTGTTGTGGGACCCTCATCCATAAGATTATTTCACTGCTGCTTCGTAACTCTAATTTTGCTACTGTTACGATTTGTAATATAAACATATGATATGGAGAAGAGGAGAGGAGGGAGGGGAAACTGTGCAAAAATAAATAAAATAAACCCCCATATGGTGTGGAGGATATCTAATAGATCATCCTATGTGGGGTCTCCACCCACTTGTTGACAACCATTGCCAGGTTGACAGAGCCCTAACCAGGACAAGGTCTTACTATAGGCTCCTTCAGACACCATCCTTATGTCTATCTAAGGACTTAAAACTTCCCAAAGATTGTGGAAGGATGAGGTAGACAGTGTACCTCCCAGGTGACTGAGAGAGGTCACCCCAGCTTGTGTGCACAGCATTACATGAGAGGTAGCCTAACTCGGCCTTTATGTCTCATGTGATGGCCAGACTAGCAAGGCAGTGACAGCTTATTAGACCAGTCTTGGGTCCCACCCCAGACCTGACCAACTGAATCAGGAACTCGGAAGGTGAATGCAAGGAATCCCCTAGGTCCCCCCCCCCAACCTGCCCTTGACCTTGAGAACCACTGGTTTCTACAGAGGAGACTAGGACTCATTCGTTAGTTCTGCCTGGAGTCCTGGGAGCCACTTCTGTGTAGGTTAGCCAAGGTGACAGCCCAGACTTGCAGCACTGTTGCTATGTGAAGAGTGCACCTAGCAGCCTAGCTGTGTGCTGAGATTCTTTCTTTTCCATCCACACGGGGTGAGGAGCTCAGGGTGTCACTAGAAGACCAAACTGAGTTTAGAGTGTCTCTTGCTCACTGCACTTCACCTTGCTGCTTCCAGTCAGTTTCCCATTTCTTGGCTCAGAAAAGCTGTTGACCTCACTTCCACTCTCTGAAGGAGTTTCTCAAGTAGTTGCTGCCTCTGCCAATCAGACCAAACCAGATGGATGTTTGGGATCCTGCCACAGGGCCCACTTTCCTTCGAGCTGACTCAGTTCACCTGTCATAACTGAATTAGTGTATCTGCGTGACTGAGGTGCAGGAGGAAGCCATGTAGGAAATGGGGTCTGTTCAGCAGGTGCTGGAACCAGCAGGCCAGGCTTCAGTAGTGTCTCTGTCATGGCCCATATGGGAGGAGGTGGGGGAGAAGGACCCCCCAGTCCATTCATGATACTTCAGGTAGAGCCAAAGTTCAAGGTGTCACCAGTTAATTTTGTGTAATTATGTCACCATTTAGAAAGACCTAACCAAACCCATTGAATAATTAAACTAAGGAGGCTTGATGAATTCTCCATTAAAATAATGCTTAACTCAGGAAAACCTAGAAATGCCAAATATATGAAGAAGAAGAAAATTAGTATCATCAGGAAGGCTGTCTTAAGAAGTTGTTCCTAACCTCATTTCTCCACTATTACAGCTGTGTGGTCGTAGGAGAGCCATTGTTTCTCAGTTGTGTGATCCTAGAAGAGCCACTGTTTCTCAGTTGTGTGGTACTAGGAGAGTCACTGTTTTTCAGCTCTATGGTACTAGGAGAGCCACTGTTTTTCAGTTCTGTGGTACTAGGAGAGCCACTGAAATTCTCTCAGTCTCATTTCTCCACCCAGTTACAAGATACCAACCTTAGAGTCTTGAGTTTGAACATGGACATGAGTAAGTTCAGAGCAGTTCCTGGTCAGGGAAAGGCACTTGACTTGAGAGTCCTGTGTTGCGCCCCCCATCCCATGCTTGCTCTCGCAAGATATACCATAATAGAGGGAGGCATAATATATTTAAAGAGAAATCAGGCACTAGGGAAATATCTGGAGATCTACAAGGATAACACCAACTAACAATCTAGGCTTGCTCTCAGGCCTTTTTCAGAGGCCTGAGCTGTAATGTGTGTATGGGCACAGGTGTGTGCATAGAAGTTCAGAGGACAGCTATAAGTGACAAGCCTCAGGCACTTACCATCTTTTGTTAGAGACAACGCCTTTCATTGACTGGAACTTTCCCGTACAGGCCAGGTTAGCTGTCTAGCAAGTTTCCTGTCTCCAGGCCTCATCTATGGCAATGCTGAGGTTGTAGGTGTGTGCTGTTGCACCCAGCTTTTTACATGAATTCGGGGTATTCGAACTCAGGACCTCACAATTAGGAGGCACACACTTTACCAACTGGGCCATTGCCTCAGCCCCTGAGTATTTTTTTTTATTTTCCATTTTTATTTGAATTAGAAACAAGATTGTTTCATATGTCAATCCCAGTTCCCTCTCCCTCTCCTCCTCCCCTGCTACCCCCCCAACTAAAACCCTATCTATCACATACCCTTTCTGCTCCCCAGGGAGGGTGAGGCCTTCCATAGGGGGTCTTCAGAGTCTGTCATATCCTTTGGGATAGGGCCTAGGCCCACCCCCATGTGTCTTGGCTCAGGGAGGTCTCCTCACTGACACCCACATTCCTGAGGTCTGGATCAGTCCCAGCTATCAGTCTGGGCACCAAGAGCTCCCCCCTGTTCAGGTCAGCTGTTTCTGTGGGTTTCACCAGCCTGGTCTGGACCCCTTTGCTCATCACTCCTCCTTCTCTGAAACTGGATTCCAGTTTAGTTCAATGTTTAGCTGTGGGTTTCTGTTTCTACTTCCGCCAGCTGCTGGATGAGGGCTATAGGATGGCATATAAGTTAGTCATCAATCTCATTATCAGGGGAGGGCATTTAAGGTAGTTTCTCCACTGTTGCTTAGATTGTTAGTTGGTGTTATCCTTGTAGATCTCCAGATATTTCCCTAGTGCCTGGTTTCTCTTTAAACATATAATGCCTCCCTCTATTATGGTATATCTTAAGTTGATCTCCTCTATTCTTCCCCCTACTCAACCTTCCTGCTCCCTCATGTCCTCCTCACCCTCCCCTTCTCCCCTTCTCACTCTCCTAGCTCCCTCTCCCCTCCCCCAATGCTCCCAATTTTCTCAGGAGATCTTGTCCTTTTCCCCTTCTCCAGGGGACCATTTATGTCTCTCTTAGAGTCCTACTTGTTTCCTAGCTCCTTTGGTGGTATGGAATGTAGGCTGGTAATCCTTTCCTTTATGTCTAAAATCCATATATGAGTGAGTACACACCATGCTTTTGGAACTGGGTTACTTCACTCAGGATGGTTTGTTTCTAGTGCCATCCATTTGCCTGTGAATTTTTTTTTTTAAGCAGAAGAGGGATGCTGAAAATTCATGAACCAAACCACTTACATCCCACAATGCCTTTAGTCCTTAAATATAATGCTAACCATGTTGAAAGACAAAACAAGCAACACTTGTCAATTACTGCTTTGCATATTTTCCCAGGACTAATTCTTTTTACAATCTTCTAGCAGCTGTCACCATGTGAAGGTGGGTGTGTGTCTTAGATGGCAGAAGAGTGTCCCATGTTCTGTCTTCCTAGAGCATGATTGGATTCTTTGTGCAGGTTTGGGAATTACCTGTCAACTGTAGAAGGTGCCAGTTCCATCCTCTTGACAGATCATGTGAAATTGCAATGCACCCAGTCCCTCTTGTGTCTGGCCGATTGGGTGTGTATCACCCATTTCATAAATGCACACACCAACAATGTATGAACAGACACAGTGAAGACAGTACTCTCTGTGGTGTTATGCAACCATGTTAACTGAGGACTCTGGTCTACTCAGAAATAGGCTCATTTTCTTTTTTAATTTTACAGTTTTTATGTGTGTAATTGTTTGGCTTACATGTATCTGTTAGCTCAGTCTTAATTACCATAAATCTATATATTTTATAAGACTTAAATTATAGAGGATGCCTTTCACTGGCACCCTCTCTTGCTGTTGGATCACATTGCACCGCTGGAGGAAGAGTGGAGGGGAAAAGGGACACTTTCCTAGTTGTCCTTCCTTAAATATGAGTCTCCCTGCTATGTCACTTCCTGCTTGGATCACCACTTCTTACTACATTTCCCAGAATCCTCCTCGTCTCCTACTCCCTCTCATTGGCCAAATAAGTACTTTATTCAATAATAAGATGAACATACACAGTACATTCCCCATCAACTACCTCTCAAATAGTCAGGTCTCATGGGAGACACAAGAACAATGCCCTTGACTGAGCAAATAATGACTGTTGGAAAGACCAAAACCAAGCCTTTAGCACCACCCCGTTGATCAGAACTGCAAGCAAGTGAAACCATGGGACTGAATGCATTTTATTTTTGTTTGTGTTTTTTTTTGTTGTTGTTGTTGTTGATTTCCTATAGCTCTGGATAGCCCTGAACTCTGAATCCTCCTGCCTCCACCTCCTGATCGCTGAGGTGGAAGATATACACCAGCATGATTAGCTAAGCAGCAGGGTTTGAATGCTCCTCCTTGGAGTGTGGGGGCCAATTAAGTGATGAGAAAGAATGATGAGCAGGGTGGCATGGTACAGACCTGTAGTCCCAGCACTCGGGAGGTTGAGGCCAACTTGAGCTACATGGTGAGACCCTGTCTCCAGCAAAACAGAAGTGAGGGCCGAGTTACAGAGCCCAGCACTTTCTGGATGAGATGTTCATTGCAAAGTGCCTTGCCCCACAACTTGAGATATCTGGTTCTGTCTTGCAAACTGTCATCCACGTTACCCCCACGAGTGTACTGTGTTCTCTTCTTAACCCAAATGTCCAGCTCCACATAGTTGGCTCTTGCTTGCCCATGCTGAGCCTTGGCTACATCCCTGTCACTTTGTTCCACCTGTCTCCAACTCTTCTGTTTCCTTCCTGGGCTGTCCTTCTGTGTTTTCCTGACACCCCCAGATCACTATCACCCTTCTATGTCTGTGTCACCCAGGCTCTGCTGGAAATATAAAGTAGCAGCCTGGGCATTTAGAGTCTATTAATAAGGAAATGTGAGTGCTGTATCCTAGAAACTTTGAACCAGGTTGCGGTAGCCTGAGGTTGCAGACTATCCCACTGCCCATTAGGCCAGCCTGCCTTATGTGGGCAGAGTGGGTTGGCAGTGAGCACTTAATTTTAAGGACATGGTGGACGGGAGACACAGGCAGCTGATAAGATACAGCAGCCAGTTCTATGCCCTTTTCTCAGCTCTTAAAATAATCTAGCATGCAGACTAAATAAATCTCACCTCTCAGCAGGCAGGGAGGGAGGGGTGACTTCTGAGTGGGAAGGAGCGGGGACCATGGAGTGGCTGGGCATGTTACATAATGGTCTAGCAGAGGACAGTGGCCAGTCTGCCACACTCAGTCTTCCTCCCCAGATGTGGTGGCTTGAGCCCGGATGGAGGATGGGCAGGGATGCCAGCCTCTGACTGTCAGAGGAAGGATGTGATTGGGGAGCTCAAGTGCCAAGGGTAGTAACTTAGCTAGAAAGCCTGCCTCTGGGCTGTTGGGCCAGCTGCTTGGTTAGGGGTGGGAGGAGGTCACTTCATCCTCCTGAGTGAGGCATAGTCTGGTCTGTCCCCACCCTGATGATATCCTCTCCTTCCTTTGAAGGATGGAGGCTGTACATGTCCAGGAGATGTCGCCAAAGCCTTTGGTAAGTACCAGGGACAGCCCTGCCATTGGGGGAAAGCGAGGAGGAGGGGCTCTGGGCAGCTTGGAAGAACCACATGGAGGAGGGAACCCGGGGGGGCTTCTGGGTTTATTGGGAGTTTTCTTTGTCTGCATTTCCTTCCCATCTGACAAAATCCTGGCTTGGTTTTGGTCTGTAGCTGAGCAAGCTGAGTGCTCAGAGTAAGGATCTGTGGTGATGTCATGATGTCATGCCAGCCAGGCTCGGGTCAAACTGTGATGTTTTCATTGAGGAGGAGGGCACCCAGGACCCTGCACAGTACTTGCTCTTCTGTGTAGAGACCACCAGGCTGTTTGGCTCAACCTAGAGCAGCCCCTGACTGAGTCCCCATCTCTTCCTGTCTGGACGCTGACCAGCCTGCTTCCCACTAGAGGGCAGCAGTGCCCACTGTAACCCAGCAAGGCCTGGGTTTTGCTCCGCACTGGCCAATATCTCAACAAAAGGGGCAGCAGGGTGGTAAAAACAGGGCTGCTGAGCCCTGTGCTGGCTGCTTACTTTCCACAAGCCATATAGAAACCAGAACTGGTTGCCCAGCGCTTTCTGTTAAGTGGTACACTACACCACACACACACACGCGTAGAAAACTTTGTCTTAGTGACAAAAGTTTGCTTTTTAATATTTGAATTACACTTGTTTATATGTGTGCGGGCACACACATCTGGAAGCCAGAGGACATCTTAGAGGAGTCCATTCTCTCCTTCTACCATGTGGATCTGGGAGAATCAAACTCAGTTGTTTAGGCTTGGCAGCAAGTGCCTTAACCTCATGAGCCATCTCACCAACCCCTGTGACAGAGAGCATGCAGATAGTGTTCTCTCTCTACTGGCAGGGTTTCTTAGTAACCCAAAGTATATCATAAAAAGAAGTGCTTCTAGGCCAGCTGTGGAAGGAAACGTAAGTCCTCTATCTGTTCCATCTTGCCTGTCTTATGGTCCAGAGGACAGAGGCCTCAGGAAAGAAGGGCATGGTCCTAGTCCTACAATTTACTGCAGGGAGAACGCCAGTTCTAAGCATCATTTAGTGTGTGTGAGGCTTTCTTCTGGTACCTCCCATGGACCACAGCACAAAGCGGGAGCTGGATATGTTTAAAAGCCCTAGTCCTTCAGAAAGTACCTTGTTCCTGAGCTTGGGACTGGCCCTGTGCTCAGCTCTCCTCAGACATTCTCCCTGCTCTGTTAAAGTGCAGTCTTACATGCACAGAGGAGCCAGGGCGGCCTTGCCTAGGAAAAGCCAATTGGGAAGCCGCTTGAGAGTTGAGAAGTAGAAATCACCAGGAACCATTAACGGTTGTGTTTAAGAGGTCTGTGCTCAGGGTGCCGCTGTTTGCTGACTTCCTTCCTCTGGAGGTCTGGCCAGACCAGTCATCCCACTGACCCCTTAAAATCACAGCAGAGGGCTGGCTGTGGTCAGCACTGGTGTCTGGGAGCTGCAGGCAGTACCCTGTGGAGTCTGTGCTGTGCCTTGCTTACCAGGGGCCAGCCCCACGTAGCATCCCTTTTCTAACAGATGGAGCAGAATGGGACTGACTCCTCCGTGCATACCCTGGGGGTGGCAGGGTTCCTTAGGAGTGACATCAAGTCTGCATTTCATCTGCGGTTGATCTGCCCCTCCCACCCCCAATTACTCAGCACCCTGTTAAGAATCCTTTTAGTTCTAAATTCCTCACTGACGCTGGAAGGGACACCCCTGTTATGTCACTTCTTAGTCTACTTTTCTGTTGACAGAAGTTAATTTGATTCACGGCTGAGGAGGTTGGGATGCCCAAGAGCACAGTGTTGGTACTAGTCTGATGGCTGTCCCACAGCCTGACAGAGGGTATCGCATGGGGAAAGAGCAAGAGTGTTTTACAGAGCTACTGAGATCTTTGTGACTGTGTGTAACCTGCATGTCCATCCGTGTGCCCCCCCCCAACTTTCCCCCACACCCTGTGTCCTTGACTCACTGCAGTCTTCTGTCTTAGGAGCCTGAGCCATTTTGTGATCAGTCAGGGAGGGTGAAGGGGGCAGGACTCGTTCCAGATTCTATGTTCTCTCTGAGCCCGCCTCTGCCTTGTCCCCTGGTCCATTCCTTGGTATGTAGGAGCCGGTGCAGACTTCGTCATGCTGGGAGGCATGTTCTCAGGCCACACTGAGTGTGCAGGGGAGGTGATCGAACGGAACGGACAGAAGCTGAAACTCTTCTATGGCATGAGCTCGGACACAGCCATGAAGAAACACTCGGGAGGAGTCGCCGAGTACAGGTATGGCTGCCATGTGGCTTAGGCTGTGTCCACTAGACTGGCTAGCTACTCCCCTTAAGGGGAGGGGCTAGAAAACACACCCGGCATCTCTGTACTGAGCACCAGCTTTCATCCGGCTATCGTTTATGAAAGCAAGTGTGTGATTACGCCCCTCCCAGACCCCCCAACCTGCAAGCTAAGGATGAAGAATAGTCTCTCCTTGTATAGACAACAGGGGGCTTTTCACAGAGGACACTGTTGCCCATGGTACTTCATTTAGGCCAGTCACCTGCCCCAGGCTCTGACAGGTGATGTAGGCAGCCTTTCCAGCTGGTTACCTGTACCACCTGATTGCAGAATCAGACTCTAGGCCGATGGATGGTTTTAAGGTCCCCAGTTTCCCCAAGGTCACCTGGTTGCTTCCATTCTCCTCCAGAGTAGCCTCATGTATGCTTAAGAGCCCCATGACAGAGCAGACCCAGAATACCATCACCCAGCTCCAAAGAGCCTGCCGCCACAGTTCATCAGAGCCAGCTCCGAGGACAGGCTGTATGAAGGACAGAAGGTCTCACATGCTTAAAAAATGCAGGCCTCACATGAGGATGGGAAGCCTACCCTGGCTGGCTCATATCCTCTGTGTCCAGATACCTGCCCCACAATTCAGAAGTTTTTTTTTTTTTTTTTTTTTTTTTTTTTGCGGGGATGTGGCATTCTGACATAATGTGTGAGGGGAAATCACATGACTCCCACTGAGAGGCAGTAGTGTGGGATGTTCTCGAGTAGGGCAAGCTAACTGCAATTATTCTCCCTAGTCGTTTCTATCCAAGGGGGGACGTTGATAAACAGAGTTATAGTAGAGAGGAGCTGGGTGGGCAGGAGTTGGGGGTCAGCGCCAGTGAGAAGCAGAGCACACTCCTATGGTCGCTTCAGAGCCCCTTCCTGCCATTGTACCTGGATGTGTGGCTAAGCAGCCGGTTACCTTCTGACCTTCTGAGGGCCATGTGGCATCTGGGCTCTGCCAAGATGAAACTGAGCCATATGGTTATGTGGCCACTCTGTTCTCCATTTGAAGCACCCGCCCCCTCCAGCTGTTGCAGAGAGTCCTCAAAAGAGCAGATAGGGAAAAGTAGGGCAGGCTTCAATAATACAGATGCCCGGAGCTGAGGGAGAAGCCATCTGGGTGGCAGGGTGTTCAGGAAGTTCAGCAGGGTGGAGGTGCCACAGAAACACTGAGGCTTAGTTCTAGAAGCGAGATCAGATATTAGTGTTCTTCCCTTGGAATGCTGGAGGAGGTAGGAGCGCCATTCACAGTTAGCCTGAGCATCACAAGCTTACCCGGCTCCCGTCTCTCTGGCACTTGCAGCCTCACCACCGTGATTGTCACATAAGTAGGACTCTGACCTCACGTTTAACTACTGCCTGGTTATTTGTGCCGGGCTAGCTGCTTGTCAATCATTAGCAATTACGTTCGTGTTACAGATGAGCAGATTCTGGAGTCCAACAGTGAATTACTCACAAAAGATGATGTCACCTTAGCAAAGAGGAAAGAGTCCAGGAAGGCCACGAACTATCTGGAAAGAATGTTCGTGCCCGGGCAGCTGTCGTGGGCACACAGGGGCATGTGTCTGTCTCAGGTTACACAGCTCTGGGATCTGAACCATCTTGGTTGTGTCAGTGACCCTGGTTTCTTGAGCTTTGTGCTCTTCAATAGCCACCAAGCAGCCCATCTTCCAGCCAATAGTGTAAGGTGTTGGAGTTCATGAAAGGTGTCAAGGAGCACAGATGTTAAGAGAAGATATTTACATTCTTTTTGAGTTCTAGACAATGAGTTTCAGACTGAGTTTGCGTTTTTCTAGCTAATGACTAGGCACAGAAAGTTCTAGAATGTGGGTACGAGTTCGGGTTTGCCTGGTCCTCGCCTTCTGTAATGCTGCTGCAAAGGCATGCGCAGACTGCATCTCCATTTTGTAGGATCAAGGTCTGACTTGTGATACAAGCTATTTCCTGGTGGCCTTGGGATGGGGGACAAGGAGACAGATGTGTATTAGGCCCAGCCTGAATTTCTAAGAACTGCCCTGAGAATGTGGAGATGCCATCCAAAGTTCTGAGGGTTCTCCACTCATAAAGCTCTCACTCTGGCTCTGGGTGTGGTGATACATGGGGGCAAATGGAGCTGGTGGGTGGTAGAACCTGAGAGAGGACAGGCAGGCGGTTGGGGGTGCAGTCATTGCATCTTCAGGGGCAGGACTTTTCAGATGTCCCCGACAGACCTGTGTTTTCCATGGTGAGTGAGGACACTTAGCATCCACAGAGCTGGTGCTGAGGAGAACAAAGCTCTGTGCTTTTTCTATCAGTGAAAAAGGATGGATGTGGCAGGCGGTGGCAGGAGGAGGCAACCTAGTGGGTTTGTTTTCCCAATTAGGCTGTTGGCTATTTGGTGGTTGATTCCAATAGGAACCATAAGAGTGGAGGTATATTGCTAAGGAGAAAGTTACTAAGGACGGTGGGGGCAGATGTCTCCATCTCCATCTCCTATTGCTGACCAAGACTTCTCTTTCCTTGGTGAGCAGGGGAGTTCCTGTCAGGTTACAGGAATACATCACCTGCTAGTGACTTGGTAGGGATGGCAGAGTGGGGTAAACCACCATCCGGTGGATAGAACATCACTGTTGCCCTCATGAACTCACTGAAGCTGTTGTTACCTGAATAAGACTTGCACAGGATGAGGAGAGCCTCATAATACCCCACTCCTCTCCAAGGAGCTAGAGCCAATGGTTGCTGGGAGAGGGGCAGTCACTTTCTTCAGTGGTATGGCCACTGGTAAGGTGTCTGTGCTCTGGTGAATAACTTCACCCTTGTCATGAAGGAATTAAATTCAGTGGGTCACAAGACAACCAACAAAACAAAACGACATGAAAACAGGGGACCCTTATGAGGAAAGGGAGGGGCTTTGGTGGGAGCAGGGGCAGGATGAGAGAAGGTAAGGGGGGGAAGTGAAAATGACCCAAACATATCATCTACATCTATGAAATCATCAAAGAAATCGAAGCTACAGCAGGGATCATTCCACCTGGTGGTTAAGGGAAAACAAACTGGATTAACCCTCATCCTCCACCTCCTCTTTCCCCTCCCTGCAGGGCCTCTGAGGGCAAGACTGTGGAAGTGCCTTACAAAGGGGATGTGGAGAACACAATTCTGGATATCCTGGGAGGACTTCGGTCTACCTGTACCTACGTAGGGGCTGCCAAGCTCAAAGAGCTCAGCAGGAGAGCAACATTCATCCGGGTGACCCAACAGCACAACACAGTGTTTGGTTAGCCTGGGGATGCCGAGGTGCTGAGCTGAGTGGAAACCACCTCTCGCCGCGCTTTTCCCATCCGTCCCCTTCTTGTCTGTCCCAGCAGGATGGCTGCTCTGCATGGTGGAACACTGCCACCGACACTGACATTGAGTCCTTGTCCTGACCTTGCACCCAGAGGCCTTGGGGCTTGCCCTGGTGCCTGTGTAGAGCCCAGAAGCAGGGTGCTCGTGGGGCCCTGGGTCAGCACCTAGAACTCATTGCCTCCTTGTTTCAACCAACCCTTGCACCCTTTCCTTCCACCGTTTTCTTTCTGAAGGACGATGGTTTCACTTTTAATAGAATGCTATGATCTTGATTGAGTGCTGGAGTTTGCGTGCTCAGGATCATAGTTGGGTAGAGTCACTAGAGTTTGGAAAGCCTCCCCAGCCAGGTAAGTGACTCTCAACTGTTCACACACAAGGCCCTGGTTGGGGAAGGGGTGTGATGTGAGCCTAAGTAACTCACACCCTATCTACTGCCTCTGGCTTTTGTTGCTGAGAAGAAAATAATGCAATGGGCAGGGTCAGTGGACATGAAGAATCCTGCCCGTGCTATCCCTGAAGTCCTTCCTGGGAATAGGTCTTGTCTCCCTATCTGTTTGGAGCTGCTTGTAGCTAGCAAGCAGGTCCTGTCTTAGATTCTTAAGTACTTTTGTCACATGCACAGACCCCACCAAGCCCTTTTCCTTCCCTTCTCAGTACCAACTTGAAGGCTAGTCCTTCTCTCTTTTAAAGACAGGATGTACCTATTAACCCAGATTGACCTCAAACTTGGAATCCTCCTGCTTCAGCCCAGCTAGGCTGGCCCCTCTCCAAGAGGTTACAAACCATCCTGAAGTCTCACAGATGTCTTGGGAAAAGGCCATGAAGAAGTCTTGGTGAAAACCAAGTGCTTTGCAGCCTCAAGGGGCTTAAAGCAGGAACTAGAGGAAGTGTCTTGCATTAATGCTGCCTGGGAAGAGCCATGTTGCTCAGCAGTGGGGTGGCCATTACTGGATGGTATTGGAATGGGATCAGAAAAAGGCCGCACTTAGCCCCAAGAGCTGTCCTGCAGTGTGTCAAAGCACTGATGTCCATGAGGGTCAGGCTGTTTTGCTAACAAAGCCCATCAGCAGGCCCAGGAGTATGTTTTCTTTGAATAGGCAAGTGTGACATGAGTGGGTAAGGACTGGTATTCCTGAGTGAGGGTTAGTTAATTGCACCGTGTCTATAGTACCAGATGCTGTAAGAAAGATTCAGCAACACCGGAACATGGGGGATTGCCAGCCCATTTCTAGTCGGGTATTTTAAGGCTGCATTTAAAGTTTGGGAGGTTTGCATTCTGAACCGTTCTCCAAGCCCCGTCCCAAGGCCAGAAGAGTTGCTCTTATACCTGTAGGAATGTGATTGGCTGCACTTAGGAGGGCTGTGTGATGTACGTGTTCACTGCTTTTCCCTTCACAGTGACCAAATACCTGAAAGAGGCAGCTTAAGGGAGAAAGGATTCTTGTAGCTCAAAGTTCAAGTGACACTGTCCATCATGGTGTGCAAGGATAGGAGTGGCTGGCAGCTGTGACCAGCAACTCAGGCTGCTTGCTTATACCTCTGAAAAGCAGGACATCAGACAGGTGACTACTCGTGCTCCATCTGGTTTACCCCCAATCTGCTTTATCCAGCCCAGGTCCCAAGCCCGTGGGATGGTGCCCCCCCCTTCAGGTTGGGTCTTCCCTTCTCAGTTAAGCCTCTCCAGAAACACCTAAGCCTCTCCAGAAACACCGTCAGTCACACCTAGAAGTGTATCTCCTTGGCGTCTGTAAATGTAGTCAAGCTGGCAAGATTAATCACCACACAAGTCATTGCCCAGGAGGCTATGCAATGCCAAGGAGATGGGGCACTTGTGCAGAGGACCCCACTTCCTCTCTGTTCCATCTGTGGCAGCCTCTCTGGAGCACAGGTTTCAGCTTTTAGCCTAGAAGTCAGTTTAACAAGCCTAGATTAAGTGAGAAGAAGAAGAAAACTTAAATCTATTAAAGTGGCCCTGCAGCTTTAAGGAAGGGCTGTTCGGACCTGTGCCTTTCACCAAACTTCTGGTGCTGGAATGAGCTACCATGTGTGTCGTTCTTAGACCTGGCCCTGAGTTAACATTGCAGCATGTGCCACTGTGGGGACATTGCTCTGCGGGTGCCATGTAATGTGTCCAGTATGGGGGCTGCTTCAGGACGGTCCTGCCTTGGGGCTTTTGTTTTCCTTGCCCTGTAGTAGCATCTGCTACTCAGCTCTGTTCTCTGTAAGCATCATTGCAGACTAATGGTCTTTGCACATCCAAAGACAGGCCCCCTTGCCATCTAGTTCTAGCCAGATGATGGCCAAGCTCTTGCAAAGCCCCAGACACCAGGATCATCTTGAAGCAGAGACTTCAGAAAAACAAAACAAAACAACAAAAAAGAGCCACATTCCCTTTGCTGTAGCTAGTCCATGATTGGAATGGGTCTAGAGGATATACTATGTGAGCATCCTTCAGTCCAGGCAGCTGAGGAATCTGTTGTCCATGCATGGGACTTCCTGTGGCGGAGTGGGAGGTATGGTGACAGAGGTGGCTGCGGTTATCAGAGCACGAGGCTGCCTGCTCACATCCCTGTAGACAGGGAGGCAGAGAGGTAGATGTTGCCATTCACCAATTAGGTGATAGACACCAGAGAGCATCTTCTTTGGAAAGGCAAACACAACCCCAGAGTAGGGGAGTAGGAACTTGGTACCTTTGCAATGCTTCTTCGAGTTTCAAGGCATGCCGCGGAGTAGTTCTTCAAGCTGTGTATTTTGAGTTCTCCTAGCCACAAGCAGTCTGTCATGTAATCGAGAGAGCAGGCAGAAGGCTTGCCCCATGACACACCAGGAACAGCCCTTCTAGTCTGGTCCACTGAGGCTTCCTGGCATGATACTCACCCCCACGTCCCCCACACCAAAATACAGTATGTACCCCCCCAAATTGTTGTTTCAGGAGCCACCTGCTACTATGTGGCCTATGCTGTCTGATTAGCTGGGATGAGTCCTAATCAGATAAGCTCAAAAATATAACCAAGAAGAAAATAGAAGCAAAGAGTTCTCACTCTTCCCCAGCTAAGTGGGGACTCTGAACTATTTCTGGCATTCCCTTTCTCCCCTCTGTGAGCTCAACTTTAAATGAGAAGAATTCCATAGGCACCATGTGTGGGTGGTAGCAGGGCACACCTGGGGGTTGCTGCATCTGGAGGTATGACATGACTTTCCTAGGCAACCACAAAGTCACATCTTTCCAAAGCTGAGTCCCAACACCAGCCTGTGCACGGTACTCTTGAGACAAACATGGAGGTGGCTTCTTGTGCCAGAAGACATCTGCTCCACAGGTTTCTAAGAAGCACACATACTCCCCAACTCCAGATCACTTACCAGTTGGAGCAAATCTGAAGAGACTGCATTGATAATGCCACATAAGGTGCAAAGCTGCCAATCACTTGAGAAGAAAAACCTAGAATGTTGAGCAGATAGGAGATGCAGATTAGGGACATCCACGCCTCCTATGACTCCCCGCCCCCGGTCTCCCCAGGGTGAACTGAGGTGACATGGCAGAGGTCGTGAGAGAAACTCACGCTGTTTTCTCTGCCACAGCTTTCTTTAGGGACCTGACAGAAGACAAAGACATGGGTTTGCAATTGGCACTGTTATTTTATTATTAGTACGAGTATTATACAATAAACTTGTACTGGTATACAGACGATTTATTTAAAACAATTTTGTTCAAATTTTGAATCAAACATTGTTTTATTATAATAATGAAATAATTTCTACCTAGAAAACCTGCAAGCACCATCAAAGAAAGGGACCATAAAATTCAATAAACAGACTTGAGTGTATCCTACAAATAGACACACCACGATTAGAAAATAGAATATGAATTCTTCCATTTTTTTTAATATTTGTTTTAAAAAAGCTAGTGCAAGTACAACATTTTACACTGGAATTACAGAGAGTATGCACGCATATGGAAAAGTTCTCCTGTCACAATAAAAGCTCTTAACTATGTATGCACTTAAAAGTTTCTTTTCAATAAGGTGCAAAAAACTTTTTTTTTTCCCTAGTTCTCCATATGATAGTACCCTCAGCCCAAGTTTTGGTGTCTGTTTCCCCTTGGCCTGTGGGAGGCATATGAGTGGAAATTGGAGGGTTTGGGAACCTGGTGTGAAAACCTTCACTGGTTCAGATCTCAGGTTCTTTAGGGCCAAGACTCTACTGGTTAGAGATGAAGACTGTCATATTGAAAGGCCACCACAAATACTGACAGGACTCCACTGCAACCCCCTTTCAGTTGATACCAGCTGGGATTACACTTGAGCAGTGTGTGTCTGGGAAGGGGCAGTAGTCACAGAGTAGGACCAGGACCAAGTTAGGTTGTCAGGGTTACACCTCACTGACTCAACAGTTCATCCCACTCTTGGTCTAGAGAATAACTAGACTCATGAGAGTAGGTGGCTCATGTAAGAACCAAGAGAAACCTATGCACCATCTTTCTTGGTAACCGTTCTAAAACAGTGTCACCTCAGCTGGGTGGTCTAGGGGACAGTGTGTTATCTTGGTAAGGGTTACTGTAAACAGCGCTTCCCACACAGGCCTTCAGATTGGCCATCCAGACAGCAAAGGAACAAGAAAACATGAGTGCATGGGGGCTCCAAGTGATCACAGTGGAAGACTCAAGTCCCAAGCATTAGGGAAGTTCTTGTGGACTGGTTTGTGTAGATGCTACCTATTGGCCAAACGCACGTCATGTGAACGCGGGTGACGCTCGCTCGTGTATGCAAGTGTCAGCATGTAAAAAGCTGAAGCCACTGTCCCCCTTCTGCCTTTGTCAAGGTGAATGTCAGCTCAAGAACTTGTGCAGAGAGGGAGGGGACACAAACCCCAATTTAAGAGGCAAAGCTAAGGTCTGTTTGCTGCCCCTAAACTGTCCAGTTGGAACTGCCCAGCTGTGCTGTTGAACAGGAGTCTAACTCTGAGAAACGGCACTGCATTTCTCCTGGCCTCTGCTTGAGAAACATCCCAATGGAAACCAGGCATTCAAGTTGAAATTGATGTTTTACCCCCATGTAAATGAGGTGTGGGGTGGGAGGCAGAAGGAAAGCTCATTTTTTTTTTTTTTTTGTTTTGTCCCCATATGAGTCCTGTCTTACAGGGAAGGAGGATCCCTTATAGAAACACTTCATGTCCAGGATTATATTCTTTGGGTTTATAGGGACAGGAAGTGCTGAAAATGTCAGACATCATCCAAAGAAAAGAAGTTGCAATGGCTTAAGAAGGGAACTTGGAG